ACTGGAGGGCTTGTTAACCTAGCCTAGGCCTTGGCCGAAAATTTCTGATTCAAAAGGTCTGAACAATAAGCATTCCTAAGGAGTTTGCACATGATGCAATGCTGCCATTGCTGGGATGGGATTTAAAGAAGCAATGGTCTAAGTCGTCATTTTTCAACCTTTTTTTTTTTTTTTTTTGTGGATCCCTTTAAACATTAATACATAATTTCACAGTTATATGAATTTTAAACAACTTAAGACTTAATTTTATCATCAAGGCACAGAAACGTTTATTCTTTAGAATATTTCTATTGGTAAATTATAAATTTTAATTTTATGAGCTTTATTAAGCAACAAATACTTAACAGGAAAAAAATCACAAAATATTGAATTTTTAATATTGTTTATATAAAAGCATCAGATTTTTAAACTTCAACTATTTCTTGGTATACTAAGTCTAAAGAAGAACAGCAAAAATAAATTATTTAATGAACTGCAGTGAAAATATCAACAGCACTTTACAAAAAATAACCTTTACTTCAATTATCACAACTAAGTCTTCACACAGGACAGCAGCATGTTCCATATACACCTGTCCTTACACTGAAACCATATGTAGTGTGATCAAGTAATAGACTTTACTTATTTTAAGCTGCTGAGGTTTGGAGGTGGTTTATTACTACAGCAAGATGCAGTGTGTTGTAAGATAGGTTAAAACCATACCTAAGTAAGGAAATTGAATGGGAATGAGCCAGATACTCAAAACTATGATGCTAGAAGACAAAAATGCAAATAAAGGATTTGATGGTTTTGCTGTCACCATGATAATATTGACATAAACTTTTGCTCCATGCATTTAACTTTTTTGATTTGGTAAAAGATGCCTGGGATATAAAACAGTGTTCCTACAAGTCAGTCACCCACAACTCTTGTCTCCAGCCACAGCAGGCCACCACTGCTTTGCGCATATATTCTTCTGTGGATTTACCTGTGTCAGTATAATATGTAAATTTTCATATTTATTTTTACTTAAAAATGGGAAAGCGATATATTGTAAATGGTATGAATTTGCTTCTCACACTCTATGACCATCTCTCATTACTTCAGTGCCAGTAGTGGATTGTTTAACTTACCGCCTTCATCTGTGCTCAGTACTGTAGCAAAAATATCACAGGTTGGGGAATTTATAAATAATAGAAACTTGTTTCTTATAATTCTGAAGACTGGAAAGCCCGCCGGAAGTTTTGACTCTTAAGACTAATCTTTGTGTCCGATGTGACATGTTGTGGCTGTGTCCTCTGGAGCGAATCAGTATGACCTCCTCACAGGTTGTAAGAGGAAGAGCCCGGAAAAGTGCAAAACACTGGGGGAAACCTTTCTGGTAAAGTTCCTAGTCCTGTTCATGAGGGAGGAGCCCTTATGACCTCATCACTTCCTAGAGGTCCCACTTCCTAATCTTACTGAATTGAAGATTAAGTTATTGAATTGAGGAGGGGATATAAAGATTCAGAGCATAGCATAAGTGTTCACAGACCTCTGTGTCAGGCAGTATTGTAGTCCTAGAGACTGGAGAAGTGAATAAAATAAACTACAACTACCTTGTTCATGGAGATTACCTTTGTGGCTGGTGGTTATGACTGAGTATAAATAAGGGTTTATTTTTAGTCTCCTGCACCTGTTGATACTAGAGAATTCTGTATTATGGTTACTTTGCTTGGTGTTTTGGAAAAATGATTCTTTGAAAAAATAGTTTCTTATAGACATAATTTTCTATTGATTTTTAATTTTTTTCAGTTTGTTGAACTAGAAACAGGAATATAGAGTACTTTAGCCATTTTTTCAGATCTTTTTAAAATATATCTGTTTTCTTTAAGTTTTTTCTTATTATTTTCTGTGTGTATGTTGTAACTTTTATTTGCTTTCGTATCTTTATGTGCCTACTGTTAAAGTTTCTGCTTTGACTGCACTCTGCAATTATTTCAGAACTTGAGAAGTGCTGGTTGGTATGCGTACATAACACATTATAATTCTTTTCTCATTCTCCTCCACTCCTCTCATCTTCCCTCCATTTCATGGCCTTCTTCCTATTTGCAGAAGATCTACCTAGCTGTTTCATATTATCTTTTATTTTATTCTTTATTTATATTCTGGGTTTCTCATATAAGAGAAACCATGTGATAGTTAAGCTTATATGTCTGGTTTATTTCACTTAACATTCTGGTCTTAAGGTGCACCAACTCCCCATGAATAATCTAATCATTCTTTGCTGCCAACATGTGTTAGGAAAAAAAAAAAAAAAAAAAAAAAAAAACCAACGTGCTCATGGCTGACTCCTGATTGGTGTTGAGTTGTAGTCTTGATACTAGGTTTTTCAAAGCCTCATGGTTAATTTCACTTTGCAGCCAAAGTTGGGAAGCCATTGGCTTAAAAGATTTCAGAAGTAACTGAAAAATGCTTTCTGCTTTGTGAAAGCAAGTAACTATAGCTTTCTTGAATAGTAGTAATGTAATAGCTCTCACTTTTTTCTTTTTGTGCCAGGAATCTGTCATCTTAAATTTTTGGTCTAGAATAAATTTGAATCAGTAGAATTGGAATGTTGTAGTGAAGTTCTCAAGTGTGTGAAGCACTTTCACCAAATGTAAATGGAATTCAATAAAGTTTATATAAGGAGAATATAATTTTTAAATTACCAAGTGAGGGAAGGGGTAAGCATTCTTTTTTTTGAATTTTATACAAATCACAGTTGTTTTTCTCACTGTTTGTTAACAAATTCATTTTTATAGCCTAGTATAATTGTGTTCAAAGTGTTGTTGACATCATTACCTACTTTAGGGCTGAGTACTCTGATACTGTAAAGGGGACCTTTGTTTACTCCAGTAACAAGATGTTAAACAAGAACTCGTGAACTCAAATAGTTACCTCCCTGAAGCAACAGAGAGCCTCCAGAAAGAAACCGAACTGAACTTTAGACCACTCCTTTGTTTTGTGCTGAGACATGATCTGGTCCATTTCCACTTAGAATTGGGATCCCAGAGATCGGTTTAGAGATGTTCGCTGTGGCTTCACTGTTTGGCTTTAAGTGCTGTGAAACTGCTATGAATTCCCAGACGGTAGCCATGTCTTTCAGTACACAGGGTTGTAAACCCCTTGTGTGGCAGGTCTGTATGGCATATTACGTGGTGTCTGAAAATAGTGGAGTTCACTGGATAGAGTATTTCACCAGAATGGAGTTCAGTTTCTAAACCGGGCTATCTTGAGTTTTGAACTTACCAATCTTTGGTTTCTTAAATGTACCTAGCCTGGGAATAATGAACTGAAATTCAAGGTTTGTTAATGAGACAAACTGTTTGAAAGGCTTAACACACTGTCTGCCCACTGTTGGTCTGTAATAAAGATTTCCTGGCTTTGATACTGGATTATACTGGGCAATTCTAATACAAATAATACCTGAGAACAAACGAAACTCTAAATTCTCTTTGTGAGTCTGATTAATAATGAACGTTGGGATGATGTATATGAGTTCCTTCCGGGACCTGGCCAAGAGCCCCACCTGTCTGAATGGGGATTACAGCGAAGGATGAATTAAGAGACTGACAGTTTAGTAATATGTAGAGCAGGGCGGAGAGGTTAGTGCCTTAGGATGGGTGAAGATAAAGACCCTCCAAGCTTGCCACTGTTTACTGAGCATATTCACACATTTTCAGAGAGGACAGGGTACTTCTCCTGAAACAGGGTGGAGATTGCTGTGGACTAGTAAAAAGAACAAAAACAAAGCATTCTTGATAAAGAAACTGTTTCTTCCCCAAGCAAGACTTTTACTCCTGCTGCTGCTTTATTATTTGTCACCCTCAGCAGGTCTTTATCTTGCCCCATGAGCATCAGGGGCTGTGGGTCTTCTTGCCATGACCTCTGGGGATAGCAGAGCTTCCGCATAGTTTTCGGTCCAAGGAGCAAAACACACACCAGTGTTGGACCCCTAAACCCCTCCTTATTACAGATTCAAGTTGCAGTTTACATAGGTGAACATGTGTGCGTTTCTTGCAAACCCAATAATCTTTGAGTAAATGCAGTATCATACCTTTTTTATCATAACAGGTTTAAATGTTTGATTGTGTTTAGGGACATTTACAACAACTCAAAGATTGTAACACTGGAGGGAAAAATCAGAAAGTTGGTGGTATAATGTTGCAATTTGGTGTAACAGGGTCACGGCATGCCTGCATACATTCACAATGAACATACAAGCAGACAGTACTGTAGGCCATACTGAGTATAAGATAAATCAAAGTAGTTCATTTTTAAAAAGTTCTTTGTTTTAAGTGAGGTATTATAATAATGACTTCTCCTGGTTTTTGCCCTTCAAAATTGTTCCGATTTTATAAGGCACAACTCACATGTAGTCTGTTTTAGGAAGTCCTCTTCTGTACCCCTTCTCTGCCTTCAGTCAGCAAATAATCTCTTCCTTGGTGGTTATCTTACTGTCTCATACAGAAAACGTTTCCACAGTTACATTTTAGGTATTAGGTCAAAGGGTGTTTGGGTCCTGGTTATAGGACTCTGGCTTTGACATTAGAAGGATCTTCATTTCATTCTCTATTTTGTCACTTTCTTAATAAAAACTGACCTAATTATTTGTCCTTTATTGAACTCCATCTATTTATCTGTAATATGAGGGTAAAAGCTTCCACCTCCCAGGTTTGGTGAAAGATTGAGTGTAATATAACTGCTTCAGATGGCAAATGTTTGATAAATGGAAGTGAATTTTGTTATTGTTGCAGTGTTGGTTGTTGTATATAAAAATTTAATAAAACTTCCTCCACTAGATTGTATGATCTTTCAGGATAGTGAACCACACTTTGGCATCTTATAAAACATTTAATAAATTGACAAATATTTGTTGATTGAACATGTTATCTTTTGTCTTTACTTGACTTTTACAAAGAATAGTATTGGCATTTATCAGAAAGAAAACTTTCCTAAAAGTTGTTTTCTAAGTGTTTTTGTTTAAAAAATCTTTATAGGTACCTTTTTAGCCCGTAGTTTGTGTCTTGAAATCTGAAGATTCCACCAAGATATAATATGAACGGAACCTTCAGTGATTTGGAGCCATATCCTTCTTAGACTGGTGCAGGACTTCAGATTTCGTGAGAGTTTGGAACAGAGGCACACACTGCTTGTTGACTGCCACAGGCAATAATGCCATCTCTGCCCCAGGAAGGAGGTAAGCAGATTGATGTATTCTGTTACGAATGGAGGGATAATTAGGGATAATTATTAAGTTTTTAAATTATTCAAATTATTTATGAACTTTTAAAGCCTCATAATTTAATTTATGTAGGAGGGAGCTGTATTTCTGGTGTGGATTTTATTTTTTTAAGTTACAGTAATATTTGATTGCTTACCTTTTTTTTTTAAAGTTATACAGGCACCCTCTCCCTTGAATCTGAATACAGAATTACCTTATCAAAGCACCATGAAAAGGAAAGTAAGAAAGAAGAAAAAGAAGGGAATCATTACAGCAAATGTTGCTGGGACAAAATTTGAAATTGGTAGGTCTCTTCAGAATAATAGGATTTTTTTAAATTGTTGTAAAAACTGGTTTGATTTGAAAACTGTATAGAATTTCAGAGAGATAGCTATCTTTTATGCAATAGTTTTTTAGTGCCTTCTATGATGTTTATGACATGTTGGAGGAATTCTTTTCCAATGCAATGGAGGATGATTTCCTTAAAAAGATATTGACTTTTATAGTTTCATTTAAAACAAAAATGCAGTTAAATAGCTAAAAAAATAAGAATTAAAAATGTAATATCTGGTCTTAAAGTTCACCTTTGTCAGTTTTCAAGCTTTGACATTGACAGTAACAGAAATTTATACACAAATGACCTTAGAGATTGGATTTTGTGAATATAAGAAAAAGATGGTCTTTTCCACTATGCTTTTAAAATTAATGTTATTGGTATACTTTTGATACATAAAACATTTATCATAGGGAATTTGTACCTGCACATAATATATCTTGATTCTTCTTTTATCCCTACTCCTCTCCCTTCCCTTAACCCTTCTTCCCTTTCTTATTTTCTATTCTTTTCTTCCATTCTTGTGTATTTGCTGTGTTCCCAGCCTTCCCAGCTCCTGTGAGGCTCACCAGCAGGTTCACGATGCTCAGTACATGTCTCCATCCACGGTTTCCCTGAGTTCCATTTATTTTGTTTGGGTCTTTCCAGGTATTTCAAAGAGGCCCCAGACTGTCTCTGGTTTACCTAGGAATAGGTCTGATTCTGTGTTGATCTTCTGAAGTCCTTGTTTTTGCTGTGTGTGAACCAGTTACAGAAATCTCCCAGGTTGTGCCGAGGTTGCCCTTGCCTTCTGTGTATTTTAGTTAGCACACAACTGCTGAGCCCCGCGGTGTCAAGGCTGTGTGGTAGTCTGCAGACCAGGAAAGAACAGTGCTTTCTTTAAGGCTTGCGTGTTTGATGTGATCACCTGGGGCTTCCTTCCGGTTACAGCTTCTCCTGGAAAAACATCAGGTCCACCTACCAGTCTCTTCCATCCCCAGTCACTGTCCTCTCTGTAATGCTTGCATCTGCGAGTGTTTGCATATAAAATCTTTTCTTCTTAGGCAGCAAAAGTCAAGAGTTCCTAGGGTTCCAGACCAACAGGTATTTTAGTTATCAGTTTCAAACTGGGCTAAGTCATTCAAGCAGTTGATACCATTCCTTCTAGTGGTAAAAAGAAAATATTTAAAAACAAAATATTAAAAGTTTGCTATATAGATACACCATTCTATTAGGACTGAGAATTCTTTTGTAACCCCAAATTTACCCTATGTTTATTCCTTATTTTTATTTTAAATTTGAAATTTGTTGGAAGGAAAATAGCAGTATGTTCACTGTGAAATTAGATTTGAGAGGAACATAGAAATGGTTTGTTTTTAAAAGGGAGCCTTTTTCAGAGCATGAGTTTTTCAGTAGAACTTCAAAATTAGGAATACAGGAGGATCAATATGTAGCTCTTTCCTGTAAATTTCTCTTCGTTATTTAATGCCCTGAGTAAACAAAGATAACTTGAATTAAGTGCTAGCAATAATTTGAACAAGGGAGGTGAAAAGTAAAAGGTAGATCTGATGAGCAGGACTATTTTTACCTTTACCTGTGGTTGCCTAGCTCCAGGTTATGAAAAAGCCATGAAAGCACAATTTCCTGAGAAGACATGTTGTGTCAGATGTCTGTATGGGGCTAAAATTAATAACTATGTCCTTTGGCAGTTTTGTGTATCTGTTAAATCTAAGAGATTGAAAACTAAGGAAGGGGATGTGATATAATATAGTTCTCACTTACTAGAGAGAATAATTTAATCTCAGGTAAATCTGTTAGGATTAAAAATATGGGTATGCTGAAACTAGGGGATATTTTGCAAACAAAGCACTGTGAACTAATATAATACTTTATGTGCATATGTATATATATATATATATATATACAACAAATATATTTCAGAGGTATTTTACTTACTGCTTAATTATTTACTTTTAGTTCGTTTAGTAATAGATGAACTGGGATTTATGAAAACTCCAGATGAAGATGAAACAAGTAACCTTATTTGGTGTGATTCTGCTGTTCAGCAGGAGAAGATTGCAGAGCTACAAAATTACCAGGTAGGAAAGTAAACAAGACAAATTATTGGCATGAGGCAAATTATATGAATTCTGTGATATTTCCTTTGTATAAATTCCTTTGTTTTCATACTAGATTTCTGTTCTAACTCCTGAGTAGCTGCTTTGTGACTCTCCAGCTGAATTTTGCATGAAACTTGCATATCTTTCAAACTTAACCTTAAATTTTTCCTCCTTTAAAGAAAACTCAATAGGAAAAAACCCACCATTACTAAAATGGTACTTCGCATTGCAACATAAGTGAGAGTGATGAAATAGAGTGATGAAATAGATGAAAGTCTTACAATAGTATTACCCCATGTAAAGTATGGGGATATGGGGATGTGGAAATAAGTTGATTTGTCAATTATATGTAATTAGTGTTTTTGCATTATATAATAGATTTTATATTCAGGAGAAAATAAACATCAAATTAAAAATCCAAATGCAGTCAAGTTTAGACAGTTGTTGTGAATAGTCCTTCATCTACTAGTTTAAAGATTAGTACACAATTGATCAGAGGGAGCATATGTTACTACTCCATTTTTGTCATTTTTCTGCAGAGACTATATGTATACATAAGTAAATCTAGCATACCTGAATGATTTGCATGACGAACTACCATTTATTCAATAAAGACCATTAGAAACAAAATCATCTATGTAATCTTTTTCTGATGCTTTTGAAATTGTCTAATTTTTGTCTGTGACTACTATAGATATTTTGGTGCCAGATATTAATTACAGACCACTTAATTTTAATGTTTTAAATTAATAATTATCAATTGATTAAGATATAAAATCCAAAGGGAAAATATAACTTTATTATAGTATTAATGAGTATATTCATTAAGTCAATGAGAATATTGATACTTATCTTTTTATTTTCCAGAGAATCAATCATTTTCCAGGAATGGGAGAGATCTGTAGAAAGGATTTCTTAGCAAGAAATATGACCAAGTAATCTTCATTTTCTTATAATAAAGAACTGTTCAAAATTTATGTTATGAATATAATAGTATTACCCCATGTAAAGTTACATTTATTTGAAATGGTATTTAGATGGAAGAGAGAGAATTCTAGTGCTAGAATAACACTAACATTAACATTTCCCTATTGTAATCCTTTACTTTACAGAAGAGATAATTGAGGGTCAGAGAAATGATAGTTTTTATAAAGTCACATAAATAGTTATCAGCAGAGCCGGTCAGAAGCCCAGTGGACAGAGTCTAGCTCTTTTAATTGCAGCTTGCTGTCTCTTAAGTAACAGAAATTTTTCTTTTAAATATGTGGTAATTTGTATGTGGCTTTCAGTTTCAGTTTAACCATGAATAAACTAATTTGTTTCATTTTACTATGTGCATAACCAATTTATATTGGCTACTGAACATGTAGCACATGTGAAGAACTGTACCAGGGGCTTGTATGCATACACATATGCATAATCACAGGTGGGCATGACTGTCTACACATACGCATGTGCATGTATTTATCTGTGAGGACAGTTTTCACAGTTAGAGTCTACTTTTATAAGAAAAACTATTAAAAATTACCCAAGTGTTTTGCTGAATGAAAGAATTTTATGTAGTTTTATTTCTGTTGGTTTAGAATTTATAGTTTTCTTTTAGTTTAAGACTATTGGTTAGCCAGCTGTTCCTCAAAGGACTTCTATCTAGAACATACAAAGAAGTTAAAAATAAATCAGGCCCTTCAAATTTAAAGACCTAATCCAAAAATGGGCATTTGAGATGAATACACACTTCTCAGGTGAAGAAATACAAATGGCAAATAAATAAAAGAAAAAATATTCAACATTATTAGTAATTCAAGAGATGCATGTTAAAACAGCACTGAGATTCCATCTCACCATGGAAAGAATTGCTGTCATCAAAAAATCAACCAATAACAATGGCTGGCAAGAAAAAGGAACCCTTTTTCACTCTTGTGAGTGTAGACTGATGCAACCACTGTGTAAATCAGTGTGGAGATTCCTCAGGAAACTAGGATTGGAGGTCCTATTCGACCCAGTTGTTCCCTTTCTGTGTGTTTTTCTAGAAGTATTGAAAACATGGCACAGTGATAAATGTACACCCATGTTTATAGCAGCACAACTTGTAATACCTAAATCTTGGAAATAACCCAAATGCCCATTAACTGAGGAACAGATTAAAAAAAGATGTGTTTTTTAAATACAATGGTGTACTACTCAGCTACAAAGAAAGATAAACTCAAAGCTTAAATTTATAGGTAAATGGATGCAACTAGGGACCATACTTACAAGTGAAATAAATCAGACTTGCATGCATACACATCATATTGTCTCTCTACTGTGAAAAACTGAAAGAGTGAGATTCAAAATACACAATAGGTATTGTGAAAGGGAAAGAACTGCTCAAAAGGAAAGAACAATTGAGATGGGAAAGGAGGAAAAAAGGAAGAGAAAAAACATATATACACACAAGATAGCTAAAATAATTGTACTACTCATTCTATTAGTTCATTAAAAAGTACAGTTAGTGCTTACATTGTTTGATCAGTTTTGCATACCTATATCTGGTAGTCTGAGCAACTATCTATCTATCTATCTATATAAATTTTTTTTTTTGGTACCAGGAATCAAACTCAGGAGATTGCCCTTGTGCTTGCCAGGAGGGTGCTGTGCCCATATCCCCAGCCCTTGAGCAACTGTTTGGAAGACAACAATATGCAATATAATAACTATTGTTAATTTCCTATCATCTTGTTTTGAAAGCCTGTATCATTTTTGTTGTTTTTTTCTCTTTAAAAATCTGAAAAAAATAAGAATGTTGAATAATAAAGCAGTTGCTTTTTAGAAGAAGACAATTCATGACAGTCAATTCATGTTTATAAGTAGAGAAATAGTGATGTGGTTTTATGTGAAAGTTTATAATTATATATCTACTTAATAGTATTTTGGTCAGTCTAGCTTATATTTCAGAGACTGGTGATTTTTAAGATAAATTAAGACCTAATCCCTGCCTAGAACCCACTTTTTGTAAGGGAGGAATACTACCAATATGCACAGTGTTATGAAGCCACATTAGAGGTGCGGGTGACAGAGAGAGTGGGAGACCCCACTGTTAGAGGTCTGGGAAGGCTTTCTGGCACAGTTAGAATAGGAAACAAATAGTAGGAAATGTGCAGAAGTTTGTTTCTAAGAAGGAGGTAATAAGATTTTGGGCAAAGACAACAGTGGAAGAAGATACAAAGATAACAGTGGAAGAAACTTGAGCTGATGTGATTTTTGGGGACCTTAACTCTGTTCCTGTAGATATTTAGGATATTAGGCTCAACCAGGTGATGCTGAGGGTATATATTCTATATTATCATATTTATTTCTTCATTCACCTCATTCACTACTCAACACACAGACACACCCCTCCTGAGAGAAATGCAAAGTTTTTGATTGACTTTAATCAGGAAATTCTTTAGAATAGTCTGGATAATAAATTCATTGGTGATAAACCTACAAAGAGAAATGTTTTCAGGAGGTGATTAGATAATCACCTCAAAGGTAGTTAATATCTAATGTGCCACAAAAGTGATAGTGAAAATGGGGAAGGGAATAAAGAAATATGAAAGACTTACTGAAAAGTGCTGTGATGTGAGAATTAAAAGTGGGGAAGGGAGAAGTCTTCAGGTCCACTCTTGGGTTTTTGGTTTGAATATTTGGTTTGAATATTATGTAGGTACCAGTAATACGATTTCAGGGATTGAGTGGAAAAGAATGAGCTTCAGAAAAAGAAGTAATTATCTCATTCAAGTTTAGGGTGTATGTTGCACTTGTTACTTAACACATACTTAGTATGTTGCTACTATATAACAGGCATGGTGCTGGACTCTGGGCACATACATTGATCAAAAAGAGACTTAGGTTCCAATAATATTCAATTGTGACTTTGTTAAGTGCTATGAAGTAGATATAAATAGTTCTATAGTGGTAATAGGAAAGAACTTAGAGCTGATTAGGGAGATTTGTGACTGTTTCCCTGAGGAAGTGCCGTGGAAACTGATACATGAATGATGAACAGGAAAGGCGCAGATGGTAGTAAGAACTATCCAGGCAGGAAGAAGAGCATGAGCCAAGGTCATACAGTGGGAGAAAACATGGATAATCAAGTTACTGACAAACTCCCATTACAGCCTGGAGCATAGAGAGATGGGGGTGGAGGTGGGGAGGGAGATCAGGTGAAGGGTGTTGTTCAATATTAGTCTTTATCTGGAAGGCCATATGGGAGGTGGGAATGAGATAGAGTAGTAGTACTTAGACCAGATTTGTGTTTTGCAAAGATCCTTTCTGGCTGCTTTATAGAGAATAGGTGGTATGATTCAAAGAAGTTAGAGGGTAAACAGTTTCTCATTTCTTACAATCCTTGGAACTATTCTTAAGGACAAAATATTTTTCTATTAGTAAAAAATGACCTAGTAATAAAAATCGTTAACTGAATTACTTACGTAATATCATTTAGTAAATTTGTGATTAAAACAGAAATTATCTGACTGCCAAATTCCTAACTAGAGCTGCATATTTCTGTTCAAGGTAGATTACTTAAATGGAATGAAATATTCCACTTGAATATATGTGTGCTAAAATTTTTTTGCGAACAATGTCAGAGCATGATAGCATTCTTCTTTTTTTTTGTCTTTTTCCTTTTTTATCGGTACCAAGGATCAAACTCATGACTGCCTGCTTGCAAGGCAGGCGCTTATGCCGCTGAGCTAAATTCCCAGCCCCTGTGATAGCATTCTTAAATACCATGTGATTAATTTAAAATTTTTTAATTTAAAGCTGTAATGTGATCTAATTTTATATCATTGTTAGACATATAAATATTTTTAAAGGTGTTGAAAACAAAAACATGGCCCTGTTACTCTGTTTTGTTTCAATTTTTTTGTATTGTTTTCAAACTACTCAATATTATTCTATTTTGTACTGACATTATTTGGTTCATAGGTTTAATATAGATCAGAAAGAAGTTGGTAATTATTTTCCATCTCATATTGGATACATTTTTGAAGGAGTCTATTTAAAGAGCACATAAACTATATGAATCTCTAGTTGGATTATCCAAATCTTATAAACTAACCTTAAAAATTGGACTCTACTTCTGTGCATAGTGTACTCTGTGGTTACATTTTAACTTTCACCAACCTTATTTGGAGACAATATCTGTTTATCTATAGAAAATTTGCACACTTTTAGAAAAACTTCTTTTGAAGCAATCAGATTTTTCACAATTGTTTTGACTTTCATAATTTCTTCATTTTGGTGGGAATCAGTATATACAAAATAATTAACATTTGAGATTTATCAATCTCAAATTAAAATTAAATCTCAAATTAAAATTTAGACATTTTATACCTAATATCCATAAATTAAGCATCTCATAGGCAGCCTAATTTATAGAAAATACAAAACATCATTACATACATTGTAGTTACACAGTTACCTGTGTAGTAATTCATATAAGTAAAATGTGTATACCCCATCACAAGCTTTCACGTGGTTTTCTAGAAAACCAGTTAAATTCTCAATGACAGTGCTGTAAAAGGGAGTCACAGGCTGTTGTGAATGGATGATTCAGGAGACCCTGAAGTCATGTTTAAAAAAAGAATAGAAATGGCACTTGGCCCTGAAACATAGCCTGCTCCTGAATCCCACACATGAGATTGAGTTAATGATTGTTTCTGCATGTTACCTTGCCTTACCTGCTGTGTATTTGTCACATTGGTTTGTAATTAATGGTCTATTTGTGAATTCCTTGAACATAGGGATCACACTAATTTATTTTAATATCACTAGTGTCCAGCACAGTGTGTAACCAGATTTTCACAATATAGTAATATGTGAATTAGTACTTAACAGGGTGGGGATTTTTGTCTGCTTTTTTTTTCCCACTGATGTATCCCAAGTGTCCACTATTTAGTCCATAGTAGGTGTTTTAAGTTCTATTAGTAAACAGACATTTGTTGACTGGATTAGTAAATGAACGAATGGAGGGAATTTAAATCTATGTTATATAACTCATGGAAATAAAATTTGTAAGATTTGAATAGAAACTATTTTTCAGATTGTCTCTACTTTACAGAATGATTAAGTCTCGTCCTCTGGATTACACCTTTGTTCCTCGAACGTGGATCTTTCCTTCTGAATATACTCAGTTTCAGAACTATGTAAAAGAATTGAAGAAAAAACGGAAGCAGAAAACCTTTATAGTAAAACCAGCTAATGGTGCCATGGGCCATGGGTAGGTTTATTTTTATTTGGAAAGTAAAAAAAAAAAATTAAAAATGGAAGGAAAAGAGTATATGTGCATAATTACTCAAGTTGAGTACAGTTATGAAAAAAATACGTTTCTTACTGTTGCTTTTTTGGTTCTGAATCTTTAATGAGCCTTATTCTTTCAACATGTCTCATAGGCCTCAGTAATTCTATTTAAAAATTAAAATTAAATTTTAAAAAAGCAGACTTCAATAGGAGATAAAAACATAAAAGAAAGCAATTTTCTAATTTCTTCATAAGCATTTATAATTTTAATACACTTAGAGAATGAAATAAATTCCTGTAGTAGAGCTAAGTTAACTTTTTGAAAAGGAAGGGAGTTACTTTTTATAGCTAAAATTCTTCAAGTAAAATATGTATGTTCTTAGGTTTATAATTTTTCTTTATGTAGCCATGGTAATTGGATTTTAAAATAAAGTAGAGCACATAGTAAGATAGAGTGCCAAGAACCAGAAATGTTAGCTGAGAATAGAACATGCAACTTGATTTTGGTTCCTTATGGTTAGTTTTCTGCATTGCACATTTTAAAAGAAAGTGTTATGTCCCTATTTTAAATAAAATATACTTGAGGTATTTAAATTTTTGATTTAAAGTCCTGTCGAATTAAAAAATACTTGAAATGGTTGCAACTAGGTGAAATTACTGTTTAAGAAATTTGCTTTGTTTCAAGCATAATTAATAATGCAGTCAATCATATATTATTTTTAAATATGGTTTGGTAGCTTAGAAATAAATGTGATTTTGTACCTATTTCTCATTTTTTTTTCTCAATGTGGACCTTTTTTCTTTTTCTTTGAGATAGTGTCTTGCTTTATAGTTCAGACTGGCCTCAAACTCACTTTATAGCCCAGGTTGACCTTGAATTCATGGCAGTCCTCCTGTTCCAGCTTCTCAAGTGCTGGTATTATAGTTGTGTGCCACTACAACTGGTTATTGACGTCTTACATGTTAGTATAAAAGTGACGTTTGTGGAGGAGAACAATTGAATTTCACATTTTAATCTATTTGTTAAAATTTGATACTAATACATTTATATTTACATGTTTACCTTTGTTTAAATCATATAGAATAATCTTCCAGTTTAGTCTTAGGGTTTTTTTGATGGCAGTATTGGTAGGACCGGTGTGTGTTGGTTACCTTTGGTACTCAGACAGTTTATAGTTCTGCCTTTACTCAGTTCTGCTTCGTAGTTTAATGGATAGCCAGAGATGCGAGCTTAGGGCCTTGTCAGGTCTTTCCTGAGCATGCATCTAGCTTGGGCACATACGCTGGCTTCTCACTCCAAAGGAATCTGTTGGAGTTTTCCCAAGACTCAAAGAGTTTCATACCCCGGCGTTTACTTAGTCATTTTAGTTATTTTCTTGTTTGCTACAAGTGTTATCTTTTGCCCTAGCCAGCTGGGACCATTTGCCTTTAAATACTTTTTTCACAAAGTAGACACCTTGGCACTATCAGAGTTACAAGTTAGGAGAGATAAAAGCAAGCCAGCTGTAGGCAGGTCAGAATAACCACTAGCATAAAGCCCATTCTGTGTGTTCAAAAACTGGTGCAGTTTTGTGCTGGAAATGTGGGCTGCTGTTGAGGTCACTGCTGAGCTGAGATTTACTGCGAGGATGAGAGTGACTTAAAATGTCAGGGAGGTTTTTTTTTAATATACATACAACTGTTTTTAAAATTCATTGTTTTGTGGATATTCCAAAAAATTGATTCTTGTTTTTTTGTTTGTTTGTTTCTCCTCCTCCTCCTCCTCCTTGTTTTTTTTTTTTTTTCCCTCTGTTCATCACTTTTGTGGAGGGTGTGACAATTGGAGTTCCTCACTGCACTATTTTCCTCTTTAGTGAGTATATAGGTAACTTTTTGAAAACCTTGCCTCCAGATTGAATTATTCTGGTTTTTTCTTTACACTTAGGATTTCTTTGATAAGAAATGGTGATAAACTTCCATCTCAGGATCATTTGATTGTTCAAGAATATATTGAAAAACCTTTCCTAATGGAAGGTTACAAGTTTGACTTGCGAATTTATATTCTGGTAACATCATGTGACCCACTAAAAATATTTCTTTACCATGATGGACTCGTGCGGATGGGAACAGAGAAGTACATTCCACCTAATGAGTCAAATTTGGTAAGTGGTACTAGAAAGAGTTTCATTCATTTGTTCAGTGTATTCTCTAAAAAGCATCTATGAGATTTAAAATCTTATGAATTTAAAATTTTATGAGTTCCTCCTCTCAAATTCTTATGGTCTAGAAGAATTGTATGCATAAAGAAGACTGTTTCTAACTTACAGGAAACTTTCTGAAACTAAGCAAAAATAGTATCTAAATCTAGGCAGGCTAATTAGGAAAAGATACTTGCAGAAAGATGTGTGCTAGATTTCCCAGCACACATCTATACCATGGCTGTATACAGAAAGGACTATAGGGAAATACATGTAACCATCCAGCGATAATGTTGTGCTCCTCAAAGAAGGTCTGGCTTTCCAGTGGGCTTTGTAGCCAACGAATGAAGGTGAACATGTACAGTATAAACATGTTGCTTATAAAATCAGAAAAGTGCAAAATTTACCAAGCAGTTCTTAATTTTTATAGCACAAAAGAGAAATAAGACTGCAAAATTTCACTGACCAAATGTGAAGTTGACATGTTAGTAGTTTCCATGTGCATTGAAAAAATATTAAATGGAGCATTTTAAGGCATTTTTCTAGTAAGTTTTTCTTTCCTTGCAATTGCACATTTATAAAAGTCATACCTATAATTTATTGTAAAAATCATAATCTGTAACTTACTTTTATATCAGTTGTGATTTATGATTTATACTTTAAAATTTAGTTAACTTCTAACGCTAGGCCTGTTTGTTGTTCTCTACTATTATGTACACAATTATTTGCTTTGAGGTTGGTCGTATTTTCAAAATTAAATGGTGTCTGGTTGCTGTGTCCAATAGAATGAAAATGCTGTAAATCTGGCAAAGAAAACATGAAGGAACTGTCAGAGCTTTAGAAGGAAAGAGTGTTAACAGAAACATTTCATTAAAGGTTGGAAGGTGTGGATATAGCCAATCACCAAGTAATGTTTGAGCTCTACTACATTCTAGGCATTATGCTGGTTTTGGAAAAAAGCAGTGGCCATGAACAGATACAGTGCTTGACCTTACAGAAGCAACAGTCTAGTGGGGAGGCAGAAAGTAAAATAAGCATTTATAATTCCTGATGGTAAGTGTGATGGTCTAAGAAACAGAGGTGCTATGGCAGTGCATTAGCAGGGGCACCTAACTCAGCTAAAGGATAGAAAGGGAGCTTGCCTATAAATTTCAGTCTGAATAATGAACAGCTAGCCAGATGTGGGCAGGGTAGGGTGCAACTGGATGAAGCTCCAGGCAAGAGAGTGGATTAAAGTTAAAAAGAGACCGCAATATGTGGAAAAGGCCACTTACTCTCATTGGCTAATGTACAGACTAAGAAGGAATGTATGTTTAGAGGTGAGGATAGAGTCCTAGAAACCAGATCTTTCAAAATTTTGTAGGCCATGCTTAGCATTTTGGAATTTAAATTAAGATGAAGCTCTGAAAGAAGGAAAGACATTTTTGTTTGCAAAATGGTCACTTGGTCTTAAGTGTGGAGAATATGAGAAGGCAATTGAAATGGATAGGCAGACTAGGGTAAAAGAGACAAAAAACTGACCACATATGAGAGGAGAGGTGACTCAGATCAAGATAATACCAGTGGGGCTGGATGTACAGGACAGACACATATTTCAGCTATATCTAAGAATGTAGGTGACATTGATATAATATGACAGGTTGGGTTTGTGGAAAGAAAACAAGAGAGAGGGAAATCGAAGACAAAACTCAAATGTTTGGCCCAAGCAGTGGGGTTGCTGGGTATTACTGTTTGTGAGCAGGGAATACAGGTGATTTTGATGGGTTTGTGGGAAGCTGATATGTTCAGCTTAAATGCTTGTCTGACTCCCAGAAGAACTATTCTGTAGGCATTTGGATGTACAGCATGGGCTTGAAGTTCTAAAGAGAGGTCTGAGTGATAAGTGTAATTTGAGGATTATCATTCACAGATGATGATTAAAATAATTGGAGTTTTAAAATTGGATTATATGTGTAAGGAAGTGATCTTTTGATACTGTTGGAGAGAGTAAGACATAAGGTTTTTTTGGTGATAAAATGCTTTATCCTTGTGTACTAAATTGTTTTTATATAATTTTCTTAAATATACTGCATTAGGAAATCATAATGAGAGACAGGGAGAAGAGAAATGGGGCTTTTTGCCAAATGCTCTTGAATCAAATAAGCTTCTGGCTTTGGTTTTTACATGCATAGAAAAAAATACCTAAATTTTACATCTATCTCTGTGCTCTTGTGGTTGAGTTCCTAAGTTGATATATGAAAAATTAAAAAGTAAAATACAGCATTTTATGTAAGCTGAGACTACAGTTACATAAAAGGTAAGAAAGGAGACTTGAAAAAAGCCACAACAAAGCCAAATGCTTTCACTGGTGGATTTTGAGCAGCAGATACTACTTGTTTTTTCTTTCCAGTTAAGACAATAAACATACGTTGTATAGTAAGTGGTGCATTTCTATGAGAATTAGAGATTCTTAAACAGATAATAAGTTTCAAATGTTGAAATGTAATAAATGTTCTTTGTTTTTGTTTTGCTGTCATGTAGTGATTGTCTAATCCTTGACAATTTGTATATCTACTGACCCATATTATGTTGAGCCTGTATGCAGACAGGCAGGGAAGATTGTAAGTTATGTTATCTTTATTCCTTTCAGGTTGTTATGTGGTTCATAGCTTCCTTCACTTCTATAATTTCTCCTTAAATATCATTTAGCAAATAAATTCATCCTTAATTATGGCACATGCGCTTTTCAACAACATATAATAAGTGATCATTTGTGCCTATTCTAATATTTCATTACTCAGATCAAAGGAACTGTAGCAAACATACAGTGAAACATGAATGTAGTTGTTATTGAGATATGAAAATAATCAGATGGGTGAAACGTGTATTCATTCTCATGTAGTATTTATATTCAGTGTAATCTGGGAGAAGGATCACAAGGAAGGTAGCAATTAAAGGTAAAGTTTGAGAAATATTTATGCTGGCTTGATAAGGAACCATTAGGTGTGTAATACCTGACAACATGAAAAATTTAAATTTTGTATTATTTTCAAGTTTTATTTAAGAAAAATCATATCAACAAATTTAAGGATAAAGAGACTAGAGCTGGTGGTGTGTTACCTGTAATCCCAGGACATGGGAGGCTGAGGCAGGAAGATGACTGTGAGTTACAGGCCAGCATAGACTACACAGTGAGCTGAAGGGTAGTCTGAACTGTGTACCAAAACTCTGTCTCAAAAAAACCAGAAAAAAATAACAAAAGAATACAGACAGACTAATCATAAGGAGCCCGGGTATGGGGCATGAGGCATTTACTGTTAATTATTCTGTGATCTGTACAGCATTTTGTGGCCCATTTCCTCTGGCTGGTCCATGAGGTAAAATGGCCTCCCAGCCAGTGCCAAGTGGAGTGGTGAGTTTGGCAGTCCGCCTCTCAGTCTGTACTGTATGCCTGAGCTTTCATCTTCTACTTTTAAAAGAAATGGAAGTCTTTCTCACAAAATTCCTTTCCTCCAACAAATATGAGTGTGAACTGAAAGGGTCCAAAACATTACAAACAAAAATAAACTTGAGGCATTTTTCTTGCTTAGTGATATGTAGCATCACATTTTAATTTAATTGCTTTCTGTATTCACATTCATTTGATATTTTCCATGGTAGGTAGTATTGTGAATAATATTTAAAATGATTCTGTAGACAATTGCATTCTCAGCCTTTCAAGGAAAACCTGTCATTTCTTTTTTTTTTTTTGAAAACCAGGCCATGAGATTGTCAGCGTGTATCATTTCAACTTTAAACTTGTTAGTCTTTGGATGCCTTCTTTTCTGTGAACCAGAGAGCTGTGGAATCTCATAGGCGGTAACGGCCTTGGTTCTTGCTCGTTACAGACCCAGTTATACATGCATCTGACCAACTACTCTGTGAACAAGCATAATGAGCGTTTTGAGCGAGATGAAACTGAAGACAAAGGCAGCAAACGTTCCATTAAATGGTTCACTGAATTTTTACAAGAAAACCACCATGATGTCGCCAAGTTTTGGAGTGATATTTCAGTAAGGTTATCCCATTCCATGATTGTAACTGTCTTTTCTTAATGTCAGTGTAAAATGCCATCAAGTATTCTGAATAAAGAACACAATCCATTGGCTTGGGCAGGATAAAGAACATTTTCAGGAAGGAAGCAGTCCTTGTAATCAGTCTTGACAAAAAGGAGTTTTGCTGCTAGGGAGAGAGACATTTTAGGGGGAGATAGAAGCCTAGGTAAAGGGAGGGTGAGAACACTTGTAGATGGTGTATGTGGTCACGTACACCATGTGGGGGATTTGTGAGGACCTTCTGCAAAGAGTTGTGTGTGGAGACAAGATTTTAGGCCTGCAAAGTAAGGAACAACCTGGTAAATAATGCAAATCCATCCAGTTTTTTTAATGGAAGAGAGAAGTATGAGATAAATTTGAGAATGGATGTAGTATACATTAAGGCCACAAACCAAGAGTAGGTTTTGCAGGAGACTCTTGCAAGTGGCAGAAGTGAAAAGAATGGTCTGAATTGGGCTACAGTAAACTAGGTGACACTGTGGTAAATACAAATACTGAATGTCCAGGGTGGAGAACTTCAGGGCACTTCTGAAATTTCAAGGAAGAATGGTAGGAAGAGTGAGTGTGACATTATCTGAAATAGGGTAGGAGGGAATTTATTTTATGATGCAGAACTTGATTTTGAAGTTAAAAAATGTTTTGTTTGCTTATTTCTTTTTCATTTATTTAACACAAAGTGGGAGCCTGTCTTGGTTGTTAAATTAAAGGTCTAACAGACACAGCTCCAATCCTCAAAAAACTTGGTCTAGTTGGAAAACATGCGCACAAATTGTTGATAAAATGCAGTGACATGCATTGGGCTCTGTGGGATGCAGAGGAAGGCCACATGTAGTAGCTTCAGCGATACGGCTAGAAGGATCTTCCTGAAGAGGCTGATGCTTGAGTTGCTGTGTTTAAAGTCCATAAGGCTGTGTTGATGAATTCCACTGTAACTGTGTTGAACTTGAAATGCTGCCTCAGGAAAATGATCAAACAGATACACAAGACTGTGTATTTGGCATGCAGTTAATAAAGCCATGACAAGGATGAAATTCCAAAGGGAGATGAGAGTGAAATTAGAAGGAAAGATAACTTTGGTGAAGTAGATCCTCTGTCGTCCTAGCAGAAGTGCTAAAAGAAGATTTAAAGTTAGGCAAGTATGTCTATTGAAAATGTCTAATATGATTAGGGCCATACAGTTCAATTTAGCTTTCTTTTAGGGACACCTAAGATACAGTTAAAATAAACTTTGAAAGATGGCCATGAAAATTCAGAGCTGGTCGGACTTGGTTTTTGGTCATCAAGAGGATCCGAAAAATCGGCATTCTGTTTATTCTCTGATTGTTCTATTGGTTGATCACTCTGCCTTTCCATAGCACAGGCTGTAAATGCAAACAGGTGCATGGTTGTCAGAGAAGTAAAGGGTGCAGTGATCTAGAGAGAAGAAGGTAAGGAGTTCTGCCAACTGATATGAAGTCCCAGTGAGGTAGCCTCTGGTCAGGGCCAGCCTGTCGGTTACCTTGCTCAGTGTGACCCATTTTGTCCCGTGGTTAACAACATTTTAATAACTTTGTATTGAATTTCAAAACTGTAAAGGTCTGTCATCTGGACTTGGCCAGATTCCTACCAATTTATTAGTCTTCCATTGTGTTTTCCTGAGAGACTCAATAGATGTAAATTAGAAATTTCTTTACACAAATGAGCATTTATTTAATTCATCAAGGCTAATTCCAATGATTGTTCTAAAAATGATAGTTTAGTATCCTAGAAGCATCCATGTGGTGAAATTTGTTATTTTTGGATAATAACTTATTTGTGGAACCTTATACCTAATGATACCTAGATGATTCAATAAATTAGTTCTTAGATTAGTTTAGTAGTACCAATAAAGTTTTACATACCCTGTGGCAGTCTTTTTTTTCCTGTTATAGTATCTTCCATGGGTGTTTGATTCTTTGTAAACACATGGAACCCATTGGGCTGCCTTAGGGAGGAATGTGTAGAGAGACTCACCTGGAGAGAAAAATTAGCTCCATTACCCTCCAAGACATTGGCTCAGTGCTGCTCCCTTTACTGGGGTTTAGGAGGAGGTGTATAATAAGCTGGACTAACAATAATACACAGGTAGGAAAATTAACATTTCTGTTATAGCCTAAAGCTTAATTTTTAGATGTAACCTAAAAATGGTCAACGTGGGCCTGTGAGGTAATGACACATTTCAAGTTCTAGTTATAAGTAAGTGTGCTTTGCACCATTCTTGCTTATATTAACAATCCATAAATGACCAGTGAAATAATCAACTTTTCCAAATACTCTATTGCAATTATTTTATCAACTTTTCTACACGTATGTAATTATCTGAAAGTTTACTGTATTAAGAATTGGTGTACTTTTTGTTGATTATCTTTTTAAAGTGAATTAAGTAGAATAAAATGAAAAGAGAATTACAAGAGAAGATAGTGAAAGCAATTACCTAACACATTTTTAGTGCTTTAATTTACAAACTACATGGGTTAAAAACCTTTCTAAGTTACTTTTTTTGGGTAATTCCTCTAAAAAATAGCTATCTAGTCTACCTGTCTTATCCATCTATCTGTGTATTATCTTGATTAACCACCCTGTGCAGAGCAGGGTTGTGTGCTTTGTGTTCATCAAGAATGAGTAAAGAAATTCACAGAAAGTCAGTCAAATAAAAGTGAGTAGAATGACTCATAAAGCCATTCCTAGTGAATGCTATTTATATACTTGAGACCCTGTATAAATCGTATTTCGGAAGGACACTATGTTGGAAATGTTCAAAAGCAGGAGCAGAATTTGTATTTGGTTACATAGCCCTGACTTTCACATCTATTTGTAGTTTTGCCCTTACTGTCTAAAAGTGTGTTGTTTTCTGTGTAGCAAGAACCCAAATTTGTAATTCAAGGCTTATTAAGTAATATCACTATTACACTGTCCAGTCTGTATTGTTCCACACATAATTTTATTGGACAGAGTTTTAATTTTGTTCCACTCTTAAGTCATTTCAAAGTCATCCCATAGATTTAGCTTTTATCTCTCATTTTATAGAATTAGGTATCTTAAAACTTCCCATTTTGTTTTTCACAACGTTTTGTGGCATGTCTGGTATTTATCCCCAGTATGAACTGAACTGTGGGTCTGGGTGGCAGTAGGGTTAGTGGCTATCTTTTCTTTCCTAGGTGACAAACACTGCTTTCCCCAGGTAGTTTAATATTTGTGTCTGGCCTAACTTACAAGGTGGAATACTAGAAAAATGATAGTTTAAGAGTAACAGTTAAGTAAGTCGCATGTAGTGAAATCTCACTCTGTTATAGGCATTACGCTAAATGTTCTACAAAATGGAATCTCATTTTGTCCTTTTGCCAACCTTTTGCAGTTTACATTTAGGAAAAATGAGTTTTAAAGTTTAAGCAACCTAATTTGAGGCTGCCCGTGTGTCAAATAACAAAGCCAAAGTCTGACCTGAGAGTCAGGTTCTTGATTGCTTTTCTCTGTGGCCTATACTTGTAAGGAAGAAGTTAGAAAACTAACATACTGTATTTTAAGTGAAAATCAATGAGATTGCTTAATTTTTCATGAGTTGTTGCTTGTTCTCAAACTTCAGTAAAACAACTTTTTAAAAAATTTAGTAATAATCATCCTAGTAATAGTATGTGTTTCTTCACAGAAAATATTTTAACAACAGAGAGATCTTTTTCAAAAGGGAAGAAGGCTGAGAGACGGCAGAAAGGGGAGAGAAGGCTAGGGAAGGAGGTGGAAAAAGAACTAAGATTTACCGTGTATGCGTCGAGGCTCCGCTAGGGACGTCATCATGCTGTGCTGCAAGCATGTGCTAATAAAAACAAAATGAAACAGCAGTGACTTGCTTAGGAGGTTCCAGAGTCAGGACTCAGTGTGGCCTCTGCACTGTTTCACTGTGTTTGGGTAACCTCTTCCAACTTTCATATTAACATTTCAAAGTTCAGTATTTGAGAAAAGAAAGTGTTGATAGTAAGTTATTTAACTGGAAGTACCATTTTCTCAGATAAACCTTATGAACTACAAAATCACCACTGTACCAAGAAACTAAACTCTTTTTTTTTTTTTTTTTAATTTAAGAGGAAAAAGAGAAAAACACAAAACAAACCAAAGCGGCGTAAGGGTACATGCAATACAGAACTACAAAACAAAACAAAACAAAACAAAACAAAACAAAAAAACATAACAGTAAGAAATTACCTGCTTGTCGATCCTTTCTAATCCTTTCAGCCTTTGTCCAAGCAGAGGTTCCAGTGTGGTGTTTGCAGAACAATGTACTCTCCTCAGAAGTTCTCTCGCCTGTCATCCCTGTCCTTTTTTTGTACAGGATGAGCACACAGTTCTACTCTTATACATTTAGTAGGTAGAAAGAGTTATAAGTTGTTAACCTTTACTTATTTATTCACAGATATTTTTAAGCGTCTAAGTGAAGCACTGTCACAGGCTCTAGGGATGGGGCTGTTATTAAATACAACAGAAAAGAACTGTGCTCTGATAAAAAGAAAAAACTGGTTACATACTGTGTGATGCTGTACAGAATGGTTGGTAGTTAATTTTCAAATGGGCTCAGTGGAGATGTCACGAAAAATCTCAGGGCCAGATGTAGGGGAAGGGATGTTCCAGGAGAAAAGAATAGTGAGTGCAAAGGACCTCAGAGAAAGTGTCACTGAGCTGAAAGATCCAAAGAAAACCAGGTGTGAGGGGAGGGGAAGAGATGAAATAAACTCACAGCAAGGCAGGGCTAGAGGGCAGAGAGCCCCAACTCCAGCCAGAAGGCGAGTTAGGAGGCTCAGGTCATGCTTGTTCAAATGTAAATGAAATAAAGAAATAAGGCGTTTCACCTCCTTTGTCACAACCTTTGTAGGAACTGGTGGTAAAGACTCTCATTGTAGCAGAACCTCATGTCCTACATGCCTATCGAATGTGCAGACCTGGTCAACCCCCAGGAAGTGAAAGTGTTTGTTTCGAAGTTTTGGGATTTGACATTTTGTTGGATAGAAAACTAAAGCCATGGCTTCTGGAGGTAAGGTGTTCTTTAAAAAGAAAGCGAGGTTATCACGGTTCTTATGTTTGAAACAAATGTGCTTTAAACCTGTATGTGGAATAGTCATTCTCCTTAGCTGATTTGGACGAGGCCCGAATGGAGTCTGTGGGAAGAAGAGAATGGAAATGAAGGGCTAGAGCATCTCGGAATGAATCAATATATGTTTTGATACTGCTTAGCATACTTAAGTGAGTTTTAGATGTACGATTTTTGAATATAAGGGTGAATGTGCTGTTACTGAGCTAACCTCTCACTCTGTTTTCTCAACCTTATGGAGTCTTCTACCTGAGGAGCTCTAGACTTCTCCTCTTCTCAGCGTGGGTGCCTGCTTTTAGCGTCCTGTGCTTCCAGTAGGAAGCTGAGCCGTTCCACTTAGTTCACTGTTCATCATTCAGAACTCAGCCCCGCAGCTGACACACCTTCTCCTTACATGCCTGGGCTTCCCCTTCCGCCCAGCTGGTCAGCTGTGTATACCTTTGGGTTTGCTGTCCAGCACTAGTAAGATCAGTTATTATTTTTCTGTAATTATAAAACGTTACCCAGTAACATTTAAAAAATGAAAAAGTGTGAGAATATAAAGACAATTTCTGTTGAAGATTTTTGTGTTCCCTGCTAGTATTATTTAATTACCCATGAGGGACTTTATGGGTCATGTTGTCCAGCGCGCCCCATCAGCAGTTCCCTCTAGGTTCTCTGATCTTGGATCCTGCTTCTTTCTTGGGGTTACTAAGATGTTTAGGCAACCATCAGGAAAGTAGCACATACTTAATGTTTACTGAATTATATTTTAAGGACAGTATTACAATGGAAGATGTAATCCACACTATCTTCCATTTTGCATTGATTTTCTCTTTTATGTAAGTGTTTAAAAAGTCGAAAGTTACAACATTAAGGAATAAATGCTTTCTCATTTAATGGAAAGGGATTGAGAGAGGGTGAGGGAGTGGAAAAGGGGGAGAGAGTGTGTTCATTTACTGTGAGCAAATGATGTGTATTATATTTCTAATCTAATAATGGTTCTCTGCTGGCTGTTCACATTTCTCCCGGCCTTGGTCCTGACCTGAGTACTTTGTTAAACCTTTGCTTCTTCCATTGCCTGGACCATTCATCTTCCTAAGGTCTGAGATTTTCTTCTTTAGGTTTAGTACTTTGTATACAGAAACGCTTTCTTGTTTTGCTTAACTATGCTTTTTTTGCATCTGCTACCTATTTTTTGAATTCTTGATGAGTGGAGACGTTGTGAAGGTATTTATAGAAGGAAAAACTGAAAGAATTAAAGAGAATAATGACTATAAGTATTTTTTGTTAACTTTTAAAGAAAGACGTTTTCCTCACTGGAGTTTTTCATTAATTTACTAAACCACAGTTGACTGAATTCCGTATATTTTTAAAAGGCTTAGAATAACCATGCTTCTTCATTTTTTATCCCCCGTCTTCATTATTTCCCGATAAATCAGAGCGTTAAAAACTCTACATCATCAAAAACTGTGTATAATGGCCATAAAGCATTTTAAAATAGTTAACCTTTGTAGATCTTTGCTCGCCTCTCTGCTGAAATTGTAGTGGTTCTGATACAGTATACTGTTAAAAGCCTTTGGGCGCCACCAAGTGGAATAAAGCAGAAGGTACTTCTGAGAAAGTAACCAAGTTTTAGCTGACTAGAGTAATTTCAGCTGTTGATTGCTAGATGCAAAACTGAAGAGAGTTTCAATCATAGAAAGCCATTTTTTTTAAGAGTGGAAAACTGTCAATTATGCCAGTGTTTTAAGTGCCCATAAGTTAAACAAAGATTTAAGTTCGAAGTTGTTGTGCTAAGAGACAGGGATACTAGAATTGGACAGAATATGTGCTGTGATCCTAGTATGTGGTAATAGTTGGAAGTATTCATAGGGAAACAAGAAAATAGCACAAGCAGTGATTTGTGTGTCTTGTGTTTTTTTTTTTAATGTTTACAGAAGAATCATTTGGACAGAGATTTTAAGGCCAAAGAAGGTAGCATAGAGGCTGGGGGGCTGGTAGGTTGGGTAAGTGCTACAGGTTAGAGGGAATGACAGTCACCCTGGGCCTTGTTTTGGGCCATTAGTAAGAGTGTTTATTAATGTATTTTCCTCTCTGAAAGCTGATTGCACTTTAAAGTTCTAACACCTGCTGGGTGTTGTTGGTTTAGAATCGTGGTAGGAAGGGAGGACCAAAGAGACCACTGGCCTTGCTGAGGAGCATTTCACTGGATAGAACCCTTTCTAGTTTTCAGTTTCTTGTCAGCCCTTGTGGCTCTTGTTTTATTTCTTGATTTTTCTCACTAAACTTAACCAAGTCTTACAGTCTGTCCACGTTTAGTTTGTCATATGTAGGTATATTTCTTCATAGAATTCTTTATGTTACACTAAAGGGAATAATCTATGTGAGGTAAGAAGAAGGACATATGGAGTGGTTTCATGCCTAGACGAAGGATATACTTGGCAGAATTCCCAGCTGCAACTTGAATGAACTACCTGAAGAATTCTATAAAGTAGATAACATTGCAGTGAATTGCTTAATCATCAGTTCTAAATGTTGGGTTTATTTTCAGTCTTTTTATATTCAGCAGCAGAAGTATCATTGTTTTACAAACTCCAGAAATTTAAGTAGATGTGGATGACGCTTTTTTCATATAGAATATATTACTTACCCCCCCCCTTTTTTTTTTTTGCATTTGGGAGGGTGTAAATGCTTAGCACTGAGAATAACACATTCAGTTTGTTCCTCAAACTGACCAAGATGTGGTTGTTTTTGTAGTTTTCCAGTGATTTCTTTCTCTTTGAGACCATTTCACAAAATCAGGAATATGTTCATCACCTGCTAAGTCATAAAGACATTAAAATGCAGGATGACATAGCTGTATGAAAGGATTACTGTGACTCCATAAAAATGGTGGCGTGATGATTTTCATAATACATTGTTAAGAGAGAAGCTTGGCATATAAAATAAAGTGTGATTATCATATTAAGACATCTATTTAGAGAGTAAATTGAAGCTTTAATATGCACAGAAAATGAGTACTGTTTATGAAAGGTTAACAGTACACTAACGAGTGGTCTTTTGTTGTTAGTTTTCCTTCTACTTACAGTTTTTCTGCAGTGAACCTGTGCCATATTTATAATAAGAGGCACAGTATTCCTCGATGGCCTTTTCAGTTTAATGTTAACATGTAGTTTTGAGCTTAGCAGTGTCCTAACTGATTTAATTAAGTAATTTTCTTAAACACCTGTTATGCCAGTAAATTTTCACATCAATAATATCCCTTCTTAAAAAAAAACAAACATCAGCTCGTTAATTCTTCTTCCAATTTTTCGTGAAGGTAAGTCACTTTTAACTTTGCTAATCTTAAAATTTCCAGGGTATAGAATAGTGGGTTGAAGAGAATGCCAGAAGATGCCCTCTTGCAGGTCTTCATCTGAGAGCAGCAGGGAATGGTGACGGCAGCAGAGATGTGACAGTGGTGACTGGCCACATGGCTCATGAAGCTGTGTGACTCCCTGTCGAGTCCTTGTGAGGACTGGAGAGCACATTAGATTAAAAACAATGCCGTGAACAGTTATTGACCTTCTAACACTTGCCTACTCTCATTGTCTCTTTGTAAATTTCAGATCAATCGAGCCCCTAGCTTTGGCACTGATCAGAAAATAGACTATGATGTAAAACGGGGAGTACTGTTGAATGCACTGAAACTCTTAAACATCAGGTAAAGTATGTCCTCTGTCTGCTGAATATTTTTTCAGCATTGGACATTGATAAATCATTTACACATGGAATTGGCTTTAACCTTTTTGTGGCTTTAGATTTGATTTTTTAATTCTATGCTTTAAACCTAGATAGGTTAAAAAAAAAATCTTTCTTCTTTGCACACTGTTTTTTTCCTGCCACTTATATAATACTCTTTGCCTACAATAAAGTGGTTAGATTCTATTGGAGGTATAATTATGTACTGTGGCATAGGAGGTTGAAATGGGCAGTATCATGGAAGATCCTGTAGCTTATCTTGCTTATTTTATAAGAAAATTTAAGCACAGAGAGGTCACTCAGGAAATAAAAAGAAATTTCAAACATGGATTTCCTGCTTTTCTGTTTATAAATCTTCCCACTAATCAGAATAGAGATGCAGTTGTTCACCCTGAGGTGAACTTTATCACAGACAGAGAGTGAAGTACAATTTGCGAAAACACCTAGTTGATACAGTAGTAGGCTGGTTGCATTGTACATGCTCATGGATTTTAATCATTTGAAATACTGTTATATGGGGAAAACTTTTGGCACATTACTAAAGAAAATTATTAGACATGTAAATGAACTTTTCATGATTAGTGAGCTGTCATTTTAAGTGTTCAAACAAAGCGAGGGTGTCAGGTTACAGCACCTTCGGTGCCAGTTAGATTCAGAGACTTTGTGATTTCCATTTATTCTAATTATCACTCAGAAACTCTGATAGGGTTATAGGATGCTTACAAACAGTTCTTAAAGATATTCTCAAGCATTTATCTGATTGAGAAGTAGCTGTGTGGGGGAAAACATCATTTTAAAAAAGAGATGAACATAGGAACCTGTTTCATATGTCTTCTTTTTTGCCTGATGAAAGATCTACGTATCTTAAGTTCCATTTGTATTTCAGTTAGCCTAAAATAAATGCTGTAAGTCAACAAAAGGACATGAATAAGATGTAGAATGGGAAGGAGATGTAGAGTGGGGTATTTTTTCTTGTTTTGTGTACAAATATGTTAAGTATTTTATTTAAGCTATGCAATATTTTGGCATGAAAGTTTACTATTATTTCTAAGCCTGTGCTTAGTCCATCTCTCTCTCTCTCTCTCTCTCTCTCTCTCTCTCTCTCTCTCTGTCTCTCTCTCTCTCTCTCTCTGTCTCTCTCTCTCTCTTTTTTTTGGGGGGGGCATGTCTTTTGGCTTCACCACTGAAGGCAACAATTGAGTAATATCTGTGGAGATTTTAAAGTTGAAGTATACACAGCTTAAGCAGTGAGAAGTTTCTAGACCTGACAAAGGGAAGCTGGGCTCATCTTCCATGTCTTTCTCTGTGTTGCACAGTGGACTTAGCAGAATGTGTAACACTGAGGGCATGTGAGGTGAACGTGATAACCACTACACTACGGAAGCCGATACACTGAGGGCATGTGCAGATGGGGCTTACTTCGCAGACTGCCTTTTTCTGTACTCCAGATTGAGGGCTTTGTGGCCATGTGCGCTGCATTTGAGTTTCTGTGTGCCTGGGTCTGTGCTGAGCACAGTACAGCAACCTACACAGAAAGTTAGGGACATTCTTGCCTATAGAAAATACTATGGGATTGATATTCCTATAGATTATTGTGATGTTGGACAGTTACTCTGTGAATCTAGAAATCCTCTGTGAATGTTCATTATAATCAGACTATTGGAATTCTCTCTCTTTTGGTTATCTTTCTTCTCTTGCATTTTTAATGGAATTTATCAAAAGATTACAGGTTTCAAAGTGAAAACAAACCTAAGAATTTAATGAAGGAAGGAAAACTATGAATTTTTTTGATACAAGAACTGTCTGTCTTTTCCTTCTTCTCTCTCTCTCTGTCTCTCTGTCTCTGTCTGTCTGTCTGTCTGTCTGTCTTTTTCTGTCTTTTTGAGGCAGGGTCTCGCTGTGCAGTTCAGGCTGGCCTTGAGCTCACTTTGTAGCCCAGGTTGGTCTTGAACTTGCAACTATCCTCCTGCCTCAGCCTCCGAAGTACTGGGATTATAGGCATGAGCTACCATGCATGGCTAAGAACTGTTATTTTTTAGATTATTCTGTTAGTATATTTTTTGAGGATATAATTTGAGTTCAGATTCAGATAATTTTTTGAAACATCTTCAGAGACAGAGTGCAAAAATGTCTATATATAAACCAAGTAATGGTTCTCTCTGTATTTAAAGAAAAGTATAGGTGTGCTGTGTTTGTTATTTGAAGACTGATTTCCTTCATATATATTCCTTTACAGTCATTAAAATCTAGAGAAGATATTTATGGCTGTGTGAATGTCTGGGCCTGACATGCTTGTTAGTCAGATGAAATTTTTTGTCCTGTTTTTGGAACTAACGGTTTTCAGCATTTAATGCTACTCTGACCTTGAAGATTTACACTTGCTAGTCTCTTGACATGTCTCAGTTCACTAAGCTTTGGGTGTTCTTCTGTTTCCTTATATGGCTTCTCTTAGTTCTCCCTTGGTCATTTTTTCCACTGTGTCCTGTCCCAGTTCTCTTCTCTTGCTTATCAGTTTCATTCACTTTGTGGCATCATTTGTGAGTCTGAACCTGGAGTCCTCATCTGCACATGCACAGAGTGAGTATAGACCAGGGAGCCTCTTGCCAGCTCTGACCTGCTCTGAGGCTCTGCTTCTGCGTGGGCAGCTAACAGCTGACCACATCTGCTGGTCTGGTGGGTGCTCGGAAAGCAGTAGTGAGTGAGCAACAAGTGAGCAAATAAACGAAGGGATGCATGCTCAGATGACACTTAAGTTTAATACAGTCAGGGTTGAATTATTCTTTCCTTCAAACATATTCCTCTTTCTGAATTCATCTCTCTCTCTCTTTTTTTTTTAATGATAATCACATATCTGAAAGCCACAAAGGCTAAATCTAACTTGTTATTGGACCTTTTAAAAGAACCAATACTGTTTTGGAAGCTAAAGATTAAAAAATGCAGTTTCCTTTCCTTACGTATCTTAACTATTAAAGGCAGTGATAATCAGCCAAATCTATTTTTCCTTCTTATTTTCTTTGTTAGTTAAGGGCAAAACTGTCCACATCAAAGTCCAGGGTACTAACCTGGACATTATTCTGAACTTTTTCTTTTTTATTAAAAAATGAATTCTGTCAATTCTGATTGTCGCTTAATGCATTTGTCTCTTGACGTTCTGTATCTCCTGTCTCCTCAGTTGTTTTATTGATTTTCTCTTTGTTAACCTAGGCCCTGCTTTGCAGTTTCCTCTATGTTGCTTTGCAAACTACTATTTATTGAGAGTTGAGGGTCCATGCTACTGTAGTAAGTCCTAGAAATTTCAAGCCTCCTATGATTCCTAGGCTTTCGGCTTGAGTGAGTTGTTTGATGAAATGACATTCCATCAGATAAAGATTATAAAAACTTTCTGGTTGAGAGCAATGATGAAGGAAGGTAGAAAGCAAGAGAGAATTCAGTTTTTAGCATGCTAATTTTGAGATGCTTTGAGACACACAGGCAGAACTGTTTTATGGAGAATTTGTGTATAGAGCCTCAGGAGCTAGTGATGCCTATCTGATTGACATCCATGTTGACTTGCAGTTGAATTTAATGGTCAAGATCACAGATTTGTTGTGTGTATTTTGAGAAGGAAAGAGAGGCAGGGACAGAGCCCTTAGGTATGCCAGCATTTGAAACAACATTTATAAACACTGGTATCCTGATTAGGTAGTTTCTACACTATTACATGAAGTGTAAACTCCTTTATATTACATACAGTGCACTTTTTTCATTATATTTGACACTGGTCCTTGCATCTTTATCTAACCTAGTCACTTCTTGTTCTTTTTATCTACCTTCAGATTGATTTTTTTTTATAAAAATGCTTTTGTGGTGCTGTTTCTCATTTATGTATCTTTGCATTTAATCTCATTTAAGTATTCATTCACCTTTGACCTTCTAGTGAATTTAAAAATTATTATTTTTAGTTGTGATAAATTACATTTACCATGAAATTTACCACTACTACCACTTATAAGTGTGAAATTGAGTGGCACTGACTGCATGCATATTATGCAGCCATCACCACTATCCATCTTGTGAACTCTTTATAACTGGAAAAATTCAATTTCTAAACCCATAGAACCCTGCCTCTCCACTCCTCCCATCTCCCAGTCTCTGTCTTCCAACATAATAACTTTTATGAGTTTTGAGTACCTATAGGAAGGTTCTGATGGCAGTGGAATCATCATGATTTGTCCCTTTGTTTCTGGCTTGTTTGATTTAGTGTATTATCTTCAAGTTCATCCATGTATCTTCTGTCAGAAGTTCCTTCCTTTTGTAGAGATGAACAATGTTCAATTATATGCTGTCTTTATGTATTTTCTGAAGGTAATGAAAAATGCCAAAGACTGAATGGTAAAAGAATTTAGCAGTTCCAGATATTGAAGAGCCTGGTGCTAGGTCTACTTAGCTTCTTGTGAGGGCTTCATGCTGTATCAGTTCAAGGTGAAAGAGGAGAAAGATAGAGGTGCATGTGGGAGAGTACACATGGGGCAGGGAGATGAGGAGAGGCGACTTTCATACGTCTAATTCAGCCCCATAAGACCCAGCTTACTCCTGTGAGACCTAATCCATTCTTGGGATAACTAACCCAGTCTCTGGAGTGCGATATTAATCCATTCATGTGCGTTGTGCCCCTTGACCTAATCACTCTTATTGATTCTGCCTCTTAAAGACCCTGTCACTTATAACAGCCTTCAGTGTGGCTCACTGTAAAGCTGCTTGGTTTTTCTGCAAGCAGAAATGACACTGTGGTGATGTGAAGTGTCAGTGTGGCCCCGTGCAGTTACCAAGGAGCTCAGCTCCTTTCCCCGCAGGTTCGTGGATCCAGGCAAAGGCCAGGCAGTGTTGAATTTAAAGCTGCATAGTGTTTTACTGTTTATGATGGGAATCAATTTTAAAACCAAAAATGCCTAACTTTAAGGATATTAATTTGTACTAACAGGAGGTCAGACCTGTTTGTTAAAATCTACTTGCTCCATCAGTAACTTCAACTAGTTAAAACTTGATTTTGAGAGAAAACTAAAACCTTTGTGCCTAAAACTGATGACATCAGTTGAAGTAGAATGAGCAGGAGATTTTAGAAGGTCTTGTTCAGAAGAATGAATATGAAGGAAATTTTGACAGCTAAAATTTCCACAGGGGGCGAAAAAGACCTCGTCACTTAGCAGCATTTTCAAATGGGGAACCAAATTTCCAACACATGAACCTGTAGGAGACACACTGTGCCCAAACTGTAACATATGTATTGACACCATTTATAGCAACTTATTTTTAAAATGTAGCTGAAGCTTGATTTTATAAAGCAGTTTTATAAAGCAGTGTGACCTACTTCTTTGTTCTATTAGTATTATTTACATGACATTGTAAATGTCACTTTTTGTGCTCTAAGTATTTATTTCCGTGTCAACTCATTTAGCCGTCAGATCCTTGAGGGTAATGTCTGTGTCTTTTTATTCCTCTAACTATATCTAGAACAGCATATACCAAGGACCAAATGAAAGTTTTTTGAAAGGCAAGGGTAGGAGAGGATATTTCATTCAAGATAATTTTTGTAAGAAAAATAATCAGAAGGCAAATGTGTGCATAGACCTTCCAGTGCTTTATTACTGGAACATAGAACATATGAGGCAAGTAGCTGCAGATGTCCCTCAGATAAAATTACAGAGTAGCGAGCACTGGAGAGTCACAAAGTACTAAACAGAGCTGCTCAGGTCAATATATGAACACAGTGGTGTAGAAGATATTGATTAAAACACTTGAGTAAATGGGATCTTTTGGTCTTCGGTACACTTTTGTTCTAGTGTGGAAGTAAATAGCAGAAGTCATTATGTTAATTGATGCTTTCATCTATTGAAATGCAGACATAGTTTTTGCAGTGACAATATTTCTGAAGGTAAGTATATGAAGGGAATATTTTTTTTTATTTAAAGAGAGAGAGAGAAAAAAGAAAGGACATAAAAAAACAATGCAGTAAAAGGGTACAAATAATACAGTATTTCTAGAAGAATATATACAGTACGAAGTCACCAGTTAACAGGCTACACATTATCTTCCCAGAAACAGTTGTCCATATCACCAAATTAAAGCATACAAAGTGAACATTCATACAGTGAAATTGGAGACAGTTCCGTTCAATGATCCAACAAAAGCTCAGTTATATGGTTTTCCATCCTACACTCTGGAACATATCCGCGGTTATATCCCATGAAGGGAATATTTTAGGTAAAATATCATTATCTTGGTCATAACTGTTGCTTAATTTTTTTATAATAAAAGGTCCTATCATGAAAAGAAGTCTCAGTGTGTTTGGCTTTTCTTCATCTCATAATGTAGCTAAGGAAACTTCTAGGCATGCTTATTTTTGTTACTCATTTGTGCATTAATTGTTGATATGTCAGTTGTGTTTTGTTTGCTGTGAATGTGCACCTGGATCTGACCAAAGCATTTCAGGTTATTTGTTTGACCTCTTTTTTTTGTTCTCTTGCGTTTATTTCATTTTTCTGTTATTATTTGGTTGTTGTTCCTTTCTATTCTCATTTTCAGTGCTTTTTGATCTTTCCTTTTCTCTCCTGCCTTTAAACTAAACATTATGTAAAAATGACTATGCTGGATGAAATGAATCTGAAAATGTAAATCATTAAAAGTTACCTAATCCATGGCATTCTTTCTTGTTAACTGTGGAAACTCAGAGGCAAATTATATTCATCTTTGGGAAAATGGTGCAATCATCCAGTCACTAAATCAGAAGTCTTGGTATCATCACAAGTTCATCCTTTTTTCATATTTTAATTTTTCACCAAAGCATATTTGTTCTTCTTCCAAAATATTCTATAATTATATTTTTTTTCCCATCTCATGGTTGCTTCCCTGGTCCAGGTCCTATATTTCATATTTGCTAATGAAATGGCATCTCATTCTAACTTCCCTATTTTCTCATCTATTATTTCCTCATTTTCTAAGTTACTTTCAATTGCACATACTGCCAGAGGCATAATCTTTGACATATGCAAATATAATTATGCCCTTTTCTCTTTAAAATTCATGCTCCTTTTTGTGGCCTGAAGTTAAATTTGAAGCTCAGTATCCCAATAGCCCTAAGATTAGCAGTTTCTTACTTTACCTATAACTTTAGCTACACTGAGTGACTTCTGATTTTTTTGGATGTGTTCATTTTCTCAAATTTTTCCTTTTACTCTGGTTACCTGTTGAATCTCTGCCACTGAAGAGGCATAAAAGAGAGGCATAAAATGTTGTCATAAAAGAGAATGAGTTAGTTCCCTAGCACACTCCTAATAGTTGGAGTTGTGAAGGTGGCACATATTTGTGGCAGAAAAACACTTTTCTGTCTAGTCTTAGCTTCCTATTGTCCGTGCAGTCTTCTGATGAATGGGACCATGTATAAACTCAACAAGACTTTTGCTTCTATATGTAATAGAAGCGGTCACATAGCCTTCCATCAGCTTCTCTTTGCTTTGCATGCATATTGGGCCCTGCCAAACTAATGACAATAGAAAGCATGGAAATACAAGCTCAAGGATAAGAGCTCAGTTTTTTTTTTTTTTTTTCTGCCTAAGAAGAAGGGCAGAATGCACTGTTTGCTTTTTATCTTGGCTCATATCCTGTTTCTGATAGGTTTGAAAAGGGTGATATGTGAGTGCGCAAGTTAGAGGAGTTGTGGAGAAGAGATCTCAGATACAAGAGAGAAGAGAGAGCAAAGGGGCATAGAGCATAGTGACCCCACAACGGAACTGCCTCTGTACACCCTGAGAGTTATCATCAGATGTTTATGATTAAGTGAAAATGAGAAGAGCTGTACAGACTTTTTTGCAAACAAAAGATGACTGTTAGACTGAAATTTTAGTGATAACTGAAACTGCACTGAAGACCTGTCAGGATAAATGAGGATGCTTATTATAACTGGAATTGGCCGAAGGAGAAGAGGATTTTTTTAATGTTTACACAAATTAATCTTCATAGAAACTTAGGAGGGAAGTGTTGTTATTGTTAACATTTCATAGATAAGCAGACAGACATGGCAGCTAATTGACCAATGTAAGACTGTAGACCTTGTAAGTTGCTTGGATAGAATATGAAAGTAGGTCACTCTGACTCTTCAAGGTATATAGTGTTTCCATTTTATCGTGTTATCTTTAGAACTTCGACTTCTCACATACAGCCCCATATTTGATGGATAATTAGATGGATTAATATATGCAAGTATATGTAAGCTTAATAATCTTGACATTTTAGAACATAACCTTGCATTTCATATTTTAGGACCAGTGATAAGAGGAGAAACTTGGCCAAGCAAAAAGCGGAAGCTCAAAGGAGGCTTTATGGTCAAAATTCAATAAAAAGGCTCTTACCAGGTTCCTCAGACTGGGAACAACAGAGACACCAGTTGGAGAGGAGGAAGGAAGAGTTGGTATGAGCATTTGATTTTGTTTGTTTTGTGGCTCTAGGAATTCAAAGTGGGGGCTTTGTGCATGCTAGGAAAGCACTTTTTCATTGAGCTATATCCTCTTATTAGTGTGAGCGTTTTAACAGAGTATCTAAAATTTGTATAGATGACTCATTTATTGGGTTTTGTTTGTAAAATTTCCTCGTTTCTAGAAAGAGAGACTCGCTCAAGTACGAAAGCAGATTTCACGAGAGGAACATGAAAATCGACATATGGGGAATTACAGGTAACTATGCTGCCCTTTTTCTGTAGGTTGAGGGAGTGAAGGTCAGTCAGATCACCATGCTTTTTTAGCCTTTTTTTAAGAATTGTGCTTGTTCTGAGAATGTTCGCTTTGTGTTTTTCAAGATAGAAAAGGTCATAGGTAAATGGTTTTGACTTGAGCCCTCCTGCTAGCCAGCCTTGCGGTGACTGTTGAAAGTCTTTATAACCAGATGCTCTTCTGTGATTATATTTGATCAGTACATGGTATTTTAAGAAAGTAAAATTTAGGGTCTTTTGGTATTGTTTTTGCCAATTTTTAATAGTTGCTGTGCTTTGCATTTGTCCAAAATGCTTAGGAACCTGGCAAAATAAGAAAATATTTGAAGGAGCCAGGTGTAGAGACATTAGACAGGGGTGTGAACTGTATTGACCTGGAACTCTAGACATTATCACTCTTGACAGGATCAAAGGAGGATGTTGTAAGTTCCTTGTGTTCTAGGAAACATTGTCTTCCTCCCAAGCTTTGACTTTCCCTCAGCAAGACTGAGGGAACCATGAGGTGGGTGGGCATAGAGTTCCTTGTCCTGGCAAGATGTTCTTTTCTGGTCTTAACACCTCCATAGTAGTGGTGTTTCCCTCTTTCCCTACCTCTACCCCTTTCTCATTGTGTCACCCCAAAATAGATGTGCACAGTACTATATTGTTGTGTACTTCAGTAACTACAGTGAATCATAACTTCTGCATTGTCCCCTATTAACTAAGCTCTCTCCAGGAGAATCTTTACTATACCAATTTGTCCAGTTGTCGTTTTTTCCCACCTCTTTCTGTCAACTAAATTCTTATAATGTACCTTCTGGAACTGCATTCTTTAATGGTACCTCTCTAGACTTTAGTTTGTATAGGTAACATATGAAAATTTTTGAATTTTGCATAGTTGTTTATCTTTATTTCTAGATCCTAGTAAAAGAATTATCACAGAGAAAGGAGAAATGGTTATTGAAGCCACTGCCCTATCAAATGAGCTGTAATCGCTTCTTTTTCTTTTTAACAAATTGGTCTGTCTGATTTTATTATAGACGGATTTATCCTCCTGAAGATAAAACACTACTTGAAAAGTATGAAAACTTGCTGGCTGTTGCCTTTCAGACCTTTCTTTCAGGCAGAGCAGCTTCATTCCAGAGAGAGCTGAACAATCCTTTGAAAAGGATGAAGGTGAGAAAATGAATACTCTCATAGAGGAAAAGGAAGGAACCCAAACCATATGTCCCTAACAGTAGTCACCCTTACACCTACACACATATTTTTACTTTGTGATATGCTTCAGTCTTTTCATTTAATAAGTTTGGCAACTGTTCATAACAGATCACATAATTAAGATTTTTAACAACAAATTTTTGAGTAGAAGATTTTGGTGTCATAATTACATTATAATATATTTATCACATAGACATATATGCAACTGGGTGAAGAAAGTCATTGAATTAACATAGTGGCTTGTGATACTCTCCTTCTTTGGATTATAACTAACATTTTGAAGTATTTTTCTTGATACTACATAAACCTGGCATATGAGAGTCATTAAAACACATATACATATTCACTCATTCTCTCCTCCCCCCCTTTCTCTCTCTTGTGCGCCTCCTCCTCATTTATCCTAATGAAAGGTCTATCAGTTATCTATTGTGACGTAACAAACCACATTGTTTATTTGCTCATTATTCTGTAGTCTTGACTAGGAACCATTCTTTTGTTGATCATGCCTGCTGTAAACAATGTAATTTCATTTATCTGAAATCAGTTTCTTGCATGCATCTGGGGCTAGAACCCCAGTGTGCCTTCACTCACCTGTCTGTTACATCAGAAGACACAGCTGGAGCACCTGGTGGAATCTCATGATTTTTGAAATTGAGCATTTCAAGATGATTCTCTTCATACCAGCAGAATTTCTGTTCCTATGGTAGATTTGTTTTCAATCCATATTTGTCCAGACTAGACAAAAGACCCCAGACCAGGAAGTGCTACTCACCTCTATCCTCTTAGGAAGAACTTATCCTTGTCTGGAACTTAATTCCTTCAGACTGCTTTTTAATAGTGCTTTGATTTTTCAAAATGTAACTTTTTAGTTTATCTGGCTTTTATAGCTCTTAGAAAGTATAATATTTTCTATTGTGATCATTCTTATAAACAGAAGCAGAACTTTTGGGATTATTTTTAGCTATTCTTGCTATTATCTATGGAATACATTGTAGGATTCATCTTTAATCAAATCTATTGCAGGAATCTTCTGGTATTTTAATGGCTAACTTCCTCAGATTTGAATAAAGAATAATATTTCATTAAGAGTACAGTAAGATATCTAGTTTTCTTAAAAAAATTTTAAAGGGGACATTGAAGTATAAATCATAAATATATAGTTTTAATATTTGTATAAGTTGAATAAATAGAACAATGAAGCAATTAATTATACCTTTTTCAATATAACTACTACCCAGGCTTCTTCAACATCCACTAGTGTTTATGCTTTTAGTATTTTTCTATTTGACTTCATAGTGACTCCAGAAAAACGTAAGAGAAAGTTCCTAAGGCATTTATATTATTATGGCTAGAGAATGAAAACCTTTCATATAGCTGTAAAAATACTGTTTTAGTATAAAATTTTAAAAACTATTTCATTGAATGGGATTCATTAACCAAATACTATAATTAGTTTGCTTCTAAATGAAGCTCCTTTGCCAAGCGTGTATAATGCAGGCTCAAGGGCTGGATCCCCTGGCTTATCTGGCCTCATTGAATAAAGAGGAATTGCATTGGGTTATGTATAAAATCTGTAATACAGTTAATATGTGTAAGAAACAAAACTTCCTTTATCTATCTTTTTGATTATGACAGTTACTTACCACCATAGGCTGCATTTCCTGTAGGCAATCTTTCATCTGGAGTTTTAATATTATTTTATGATGATTGGTATAGAAATCATTAATGAAATGGTAGTCTGGAGAATTAGAGTGAAATTCTAAAACTTTTGCTGTGCAATATATAATTTACTGAAGTACTATATTGTAAAATTTTAATTTATACTGTGATAATGTATAACAGATTCAGCTATGTATTGTTTGTATTACAGATTTTAGTGAATGTTTCTTCAAGATAACTTGTCATGGAACTTTATTTTTTATCTGAACATCTTCACTGAAGTTTCAGGAGTATTTGTGCATTATTATATGAAGATGAATGAACTTAGGAAAATTCTTGAGTCTGTTAGTGATTGTAACTTTATAAATACGATTTTCACAGGAAGAAGATATTTTGGATCTTCTGGAGCAATGTGAAATTGATGATGAAAAGTTGATGGGAAAAACTGCCAAGCACCGAGGACCTAAGGTACCAAATCTCTGCTTTTTTTAGTATCTAAGTAGGTGGTATTGAGTATAGTTGGTTTTCCCCTTGATATCTTTCATTATAAGACCTAGTGATGCTTTTACAAAACTGAAGGGACTGTGTGACTGTTGCAGGTAGAATTAGAAAGGTAATGTTATTTCATACCCAATAAAACTTTTGTTTTGTTAGTTTCTTTCATTTTTTGACACTCTCCTTAGTGCTGCAGAAACCCTTCTGAGTCAGAAGGACCTACAACTATTTGAGTATCCCTGTTGTAAACTCATTAAATTTTCTTTATGCCTAAAGATGTAATTATCCAAGGTACGTGTAGCATTAGATGTAAGGTAAATCATATTATTGGTAGGGAGTCTTTGGTGAACCTGGCAACACTGATAGGGTGGTAGTAAAAATAGGTATCTTTGCTAGTAATAAGATAAAAAGCTGCCACATAGGTGAAAAATAACAAGTGTTTGTTTTACTTGCATCTGCTCTGTGGTAATGACATCCATATATCCTTCTGGCATATGTCAAAGTCCTCGCTAATACAAAAGGAAAGAGTTAAATTTGAAAATTTTGAGAAACTTGTTTTCATTTTGTTCCTTTTACTTTACATTTCAGTGTTACTAAGCTATCTCTGCATCCTGACAATCACACTGTGTTGTGTTCTCATGCTTTTCTATGCCTCTGAAATGTATGAACACTGGAACAAATCACTGAGTTGTTGCTGGATTGAGTAGCAACCATCTCACTAATCTAGCTGTATTGTTGCTGCCTTTGTGAATCTTTTCCTTGCTCTTCAAAGGACTTAGACTTGGATACTCTTCTCCTGCTATACCATAAGTAACACTTTTGTAGAGCAGTTATGACAAATAGTTCACGTTTGCCTTAGTATGAGATGAAAAGCTCCTTGAAGGTAGAAAGTGGATCCTTTCTCTGCATCTCTAGTACCTAGCAAAATGCATTAGTAAAGCTTATTGAATATGTTTATGAGGACCTCATTGGCTAGTGGAGGAACAGATCAGTTACCATCAAATCAGGAAATCACACGACAAATTCTATACAAGAAAAAAGTCTGAAGTGCTACAGCAGCAGAGAACAAATCAGTAGAATGTGGATGACTTTGCAGAGACGTTGCCGTTTGAACTGGATATTGAAAAATGAGTAGTCCTCCACACATTTAAGAGAAGTGGAAGGGTGTTCAGGATAGAGCAAGCAATTTTTTAAAGGCAAAGATATGGAAGTGTTATGCCACGTAGGGTGTTGAAGAAGCTTGAAAAGTGTGGTATGACAAAAGTGGAAGATTTGGAGGGCAGAATGATACATGATGAGTGGTACAGACATGTAAATGTGTATCTGTGGAGACCTGGTATGTCAGACATTGTTCTTAAGTTACGGGCTCTGGAATACGTAGTTGATAATTCCTTTGGACGAAATATTCTTAGAGTGTTTATAAAGTGAGTATCTTTAGCATCATGCACATTTGAAAAACATTTAGGAGTGTCTAAGCTTTGCGTGCTGGTTACTGCAGTTAGGCGAACCGGCCCTGAGCTCAGCTGAGGCGTACACACTCATGATATGGGGGGGGGGGGGAATGTGAAAGACCTGAGACACACTTACCTTTTTCTTTATTATATAGGACTTGTCACGACAACAAAAGTATGACATTTTGGGGGCAAAATCCACATTGCACTTTTTCACAGCTCAGTCTAGGGAAGAAGTGCGAGTTAGGAATGTTTTGCCAAAGTCAAGTCACTTCAAATCACACACCAGAACTGGGCAGTGTCTTAGACATTATGGTCAGCAGTATTTCCAAGTGGCTGAAAGCTAAATAAATTCAATGCAATTTTTTATGGCTTTTAACTTTATGTTTATGAAGGGTCTAAAGTTATCCAGATATCAAAATACCTTCCCTTTAGGAGGGATGCCAAATCTTGATATCCAATTTCTTTATCAGTAGGAGAATAATTGGACATAATGAGAATTATATAAAACTTGTATTTTTCCTAGGAGAAATAACTTTTCAATTATCTGAGAATCTAAGAAATATTAATTAGCTACATAAATAATAAATGCTACATAAAATATTAGCAGTATTCTTTTTCTTAGGCAGGATGTTAAGTACCTGGATATTTCTTTTTATCATTCTTTTATATATTTTATATAAATCTATTTGATAAAGCTGAATTTAAAATAAGTTGTATAGCTTGTGGCATAACTCTCTGCCAGGTTCTGCATTCCATTTGATAGTTCATGAACTAGAGTTTATGCTACTGGAACTTCTAGTTCTGCTTAAGCAGTATATCGGTCAGAAAGTGCCAAATACGACAGCGAGGTTTAGTTAGCTGTTTCCCCTGTGATTCTTTATAGGGGCAAAGAGCTCATTATGTAGTCAGGCTCCTTAGGAAACCTTAAAGCTGTTTACCACATGAAGGAAAGCACTGCTAGTGAGCCGATTGTGCCCGTTTCTTCTGGGTATGCTAGGCTGTGGAAGAAACATGCTCCCTCCAGAGTTCTATTCCCCAAGCCTGTGGAATGTTTGATGGTTGTGTTACTGGTAAATGTTTCTACGCATATCTTTTAGAATATTGTAAATACTAGACCATCAAAAGGAGAACATATGTTTAAACACAAGTTGGTACCTTAGTGTATTAAATTCCTTTCCTGCTCTGGTTATATTTCATCCTTTGCAAAGGCTGCATCTTTAAGACGATCATGTTTTGGCTTACTATGTATTCCAGGCACTTCACTAAAAACTACTTCTCTTCTCTCTGCATCTTTCATCCTACACTGTTACACTAGAGAATATACCTTCTTTCAGTGAAATCCCATGGTACATAAGGATTTCATTATGTTGTATGCTAACATCAAAACATTTTTGTTTGATTTAACAGAGAGCAAGCTGCTCGTATACAATTGTAGAAACCTTTCCCAGCAGGAATAGGAGGCATATGGTGTGGTAACAAAGAGTTTCTTAAAATGCCTGCATTACAAAACTGTCTTGTTCTTGGTTATGTACTTTTTTCTGAAGTGAGATTGTCCCACATCCATTCTCTTTTATTTCTTCCATCAACATCTTTGCAAACATAGATTGAGAGGATTGGAAAAAAGTGAATAGAGACAGTTGAAACATAATAGCATGATATTTTTCAACTTTTTCAGATTTACCCTTCTACATGGTGCCTGTCCTCTAAAAAATGTATGTCACACTGATTGATTTTTCCCATTATTCTTTGCTAAAATGTGGGTAAAGAAAATCAGTGTTACTCCATTGTGGTGAAAGTCAGTGTTTCAAAGTTAGAAATCCTCTGCAAAGAGACATGAGTTGTTCATGACCAGTTTGGGAAGTGGATAATTAAAATTTTTATTTTTTAAACTATCCACTGCAAGGACTAGGTGTAGCTTTGCTGGTAAGATTACTTAGCATGCACCAAGCCCTAGTTTTAAATATCAGCACCCAAAACAAACAAACAAACAAGTAAACACTTATACCCAATTAGTCATGTCAGGAAACCTTTTCTGTTGCACATTATCTTAGTGGATGGGCCCTGAAGCTCTGTTTTAAGATGTGCACTCCTGTGGCTTCTTGGGCTGCTCTTTTCATATTCTCTGTCCTTCTTCCTCCGCCTCTTATCCCCATTTATTGAGTGACTCAAAATTAATGGAACAAACAATATATCTCTGAATCTTATGAGTAATTTATCTGTGAACAGAAAAGCGGTTATGGTTTTGATACTTCTTTTCAAATATTTCCCTTCATTTTGTTATTTTTCATGGATACAGGTTTATGAACTTAATTTGTTTTATGAATTTAGGGAAAATAATCGTGTTTGTCACTCTGCAGAATTTACAAATGGAAGTGAATTTTGCTGAATGTTTTTGTTTGTGAACTGAATTGTTTACAAAGAGAAGGATTTGTGAACTGATGCACTACTGGACTGTGGTCCTTCTTACTAAAGTAAAAAGCATAAATAGCACATTGAGATATTTTTATCCTTCAGTGAAAAGCAGCAAGCACAAGGGAAATTAAAAATAGTAACTGATCATATTAATAAGTGTTTTTAAAGAACTGTAATATTATAATACATTCCCCTCTATTTTAGCCTCTGTGTTCTATGCCAGAGAGTGCTGAGATAATGAAAAGACAGAAGTACTACAGCAGTGACAGCAGTTATGATAGTAGTAGCAGCTCATCAGAATCTGAGGAAAATGAGAAAGAAGAGTATCAAAATAAGCAAAGAGAAAAGCAAGTTCCGTATAATCCTAAGCACTCCAGCCACTGCAAGTTAATTCAACAATCCAGTAAGTTGACTTCTTCTAATTTAGTTGATATATGAAGAATTATGGAATTTAAGCTATTGAACTCAATACAAGTTTGTTTGGTTACATGAACCTGTGTCTTGTGTGAGGAGACCTGCATTTGACCCTGCTTCCTTTTCTATATCTAAATCTGGTCACGTCCCTCAGTCTCTTTCAGGTTCTTCAAATAGAAAGGATATTAAGGATACATTTTTCTATATTCTGTATTTCATAGCTTTTATTAAATTCTAGATTTTCTCATGAGTTTTATAAATGTGCGATGTGGTTGTTTCTTTTAAAAGCCAATATACTCATTCCGTCCCATCACCCACTTTGACACTGCCATCTGCTTTTAAAAATGTGTGTCTCTCTAGGCAATTGACTTGTATCTGTGAGCCACATGATTGTGAACTAGTTAAGTTTTGTTTCCTACCATTTTCATTACTGGTAAGCACTTAAGTGAGAGGGCTTTTGGTATACAGGAAATAATTGAGAGTAGCCACCTGCTCGTCTATCTCCTTCTCTTCCTCTCTTTCTTTTCCCAGTCTTTCACTTGTCTGTCATTTCTTCTTCAATCCCAAATGGTAAGTATTGTGCCTGTGATTCTTCTGTCATCCCCAAATGTTCAAATGTAATTTTATTTTCCAGGATCCACTTTTTTTTGATCAGTATGTTACATCAGTATGTTTGATCAGTAAGATTCACTTGGGAAATCTTTCTAATGCTCCATCTACTCTACACTTTCATTAACTCAAGTGTCTGATATTCTTTCATATTTACTGTTTTACCAAAGGGACTAGTTCAGTAGTACAGCAAACACAATTGTGAACCTTTGCTGATTTCCAGCAACAGTTTATTGTGTAAGCATCCCTGATAATATGTATATTCCAAAAGTAGTCTCCCTTTCCTATGGTAAAATACATGAGGAATGCAGAACTAATGCATTAAGATTTTAAAGGGATGGGTTTTCCTTTGCTTTTACATTATTCCATAGCGATACATCCTACTACTGTTCCTGTTTTTGAAGGTTTGTGTGTTTGCACAGAAAATGATTTATTTTGTTCATTATTAGTCATTCAAGAGATGCTTACTGAGCATCTGTGAGCTACTTTACTTCCTCTTTTATAGAATTCCTTAAGTCCTTTCAGTGTGTCTCATTTTAAGTATGCCTCAGTTTCTGTTTTGGAAGTTAACATGTACTCCCTGAATTTTACCTTTTAAAAACTGATACTTCTATCTGTAGTAGTATGGACTGTATAGAAAAAAAAATACAGTAGAGAAAGAACAGTACAGAAAACAATCAGTAGCTTCCTTGTGTGTCTGAATTGGCTCTTTGTTTTCTGATCAATATGGTTAATACATTGAGGTCAGACAATAATGCATTGAAATATTTTAATAAGTTTAAAGTATGCATTTTCATTTTAAAGTTAGTCTAATTAAGCTACATCATTTTCCTAATTTCTTGTATCTTTTCTTATATGCATTATGATAAGGATTTTATCTTGTCCTGTATCCTTTTTTTAATCTTACACAAAGAAGCATCATAGCCACAAATTACCCTTGAGTTTTATCACCAAAATCATCCTGATGAACAAGGACAGAAGTCTAGATTGTATGTAGCACTTGCTTTGGTAGCTAGTTAACATGGGAAATTCACACTTCAAGGAGAGATATGTGGTTCGATATAAGACAGTCGTGTAAAAATCTGTATAAAATTCTTTTTTTGTTTATTTTGTAGCTGGAAATTGTAACCATTTTTTGTTGTTAATCAGCCTAAATATTATTGACATGTCAGCTACTTTAGTTATTCTATCTGAATTTTCAATCTGTATAGGTGAAAAAGTGGGAATCTGGGGTGATTCAGTTGAAAGGATATGTTCCTTGCATTCCTCATTCAGGTTATATGCACCTTGGCCACCACCTTCAGCTCTTAAAGGGAGCGGGACTGCAATATAGTGAGTAGCAAATGACCCAGGTGTTTGCTCAGTAGAGCTTGACTCGCATGTCAACATACGCAGTCCTTTGCAGAACAAACAGAAAGGTGGGCTGTCGGAAGTGTATGCCCTCCTCTAAACATTCTCTCTCCAAGAAGTGCTGTGACGATCAGGTTCTGAAAGGCTACTAGTGTGCAACAGATAGGTTGGGTGGTTTTTACATCTTCCATAACTTGGATGAATATATGCTTTTTATGTTCTCTAAAGCCTAAAATAAGGAGTATTACATTTATCTTCCATCTGTTCAAAATATCTTGTGGAAATTATTCCTAAATATGTGTTTTATTTCCACTACCTTCATACACATTTAACTTTTTTTCAACAGTTAAGAAAAATATTTAGATACTCAATCCAAATTCAATGCATATGTATCATTAAATTATTTGACTAATGAAGATTTATATATTCCTCAAGCAGAGAGACTAAGGTACTGAGGATATGTAGAACATAACAGCAACAACAAATTGGTAGTACAAATTGGAGTGATAATCTGTTTTTGTCTGCAGGACTCACAATTTATTGACAAGAGTTGGTTCTTTCTCTTGATGTACTCAAACTGCTTTGGGGAAGGCATGCTGTTGGTTTCCCTCAATATTTGTTTTGATAACATTTATATAGATTCATATGTTTGTCTTTTTAAAAATCTTTTACTATTACAGTGAATTCTAGGAGTGTGTGTGTGTGTGTGTGTGTGTGTGTGTGTGTCTGCATCTACCTATTTTTTGGAGATGGAATTATTTTCTATTCACTTTTGTAAATAAGAATGTTTAGTACTCGTGTAGTAAGCAATTATAGTAAAAATATAATTGCTTACTTTTATAGTAAGCGATCATATTTTTATACTTCATTAGGACAATTTTTATATTTTTCCTCCCTCTCTCCTCCTCCTTTCTCTCTCTTCCTTCCTTTGTTGCCTCCCTTCCATAAATTCCCTCTTAAATTCTGTAACTTAACCCTCTGCCCTGGGTACTTTCCATTCTCCATTTTTGTACTTTATATGAATTTTTCTATACGATTCTCAGTCTGCAATTTAAGCACAGCTTCTCGTATATAACCTGTGTCCTCACAAGGACAGTGAGTGGCATGATGGAATGAGGTAAGGGTTTAGACCGAAGCCGGACCAGTACATATCACTCTGACTTTGAGCGAAGTTTTTCCCCCCAGTTCTGAGCAGTGGTAATTTCTCTGGTAGAGAGTTTCTGTGAGGACTAAGGAAGGAAATGCAGTAATGTGGCATGATGCCCAGCTTACAGAGGTTGCTCCATAAATGTTAATTTTCCTTCTTTTTCTTTAATGTCGTATTTTGAGAATGTAATTTTAGAATGCTGTTTGTAGTTATTATTTGTACAGCTTAGGGGTTCTGAGCAGGTTCAACTGTTTGCCCTGGAGTACTGACTCTAAACTTGCCTCCTCATGAAGATGACTGTGATTTGACATTTATTGCCACTCTGTCACTACCTGGTTTAATCTTTAGTTTATATTGATCAAACACTGGGGAGAACTGACAACACCACTTCTGTTCTGTCCATCTTCCCCATCATTGATAGATTCCATGAGGCGTTCAGTCAGCTGCCCTCGGTCCATTTCTTCTCATTCACCTTTCAGTGGGGACACTCGCCCCTTGTCTGCTCAGCAAGTGATACCAGTATCACGGCCAGCTTCAGCATCTCGGTCACATTCCTTAAATCGGGCTTCCTCCTACACAAGACAACTGCTGCAGAACAGTGATGCCAGCTCTTCCAGCTCTCAGGTGGTAAGTCATCTTGCTTGCTCTTCTAGGGTTTCAGGAAACATTGTACTGACAATCTTGCTGGCCAAAGTGATCAGCTAAGAGAACAGATTGAACCTCAGATAATTTTATAATTCAGTGCATAATCCTGAAATCTGGATTATTCATCTGTGTCATTACAGTTTGGTGTGGGTCCTAAAAGGCAGCCTTCAGTATGTCACAGAACTCCATGAATGACACTAGAACAGCAGTGTTTTATTTTCCATTTGCTAATGTAGGAAAAAAATAGTTGAAAATCATCAGAGTAAATGTATTGTTTTAAGAGTTCCTTATGTAATCTATCTGTAAATTCGTTGTATGGAAACGCTTACTTAATGGGACTAAGTGATTAGTAGGTTAAAATTGATCAATTATCCTTATAGAATTTAAGTATACTGCAGTTTATAATGTTTTCTGTATTTTAAATGAACAAATTCTCTGTTTAGCATAGATGTGACTTTATTCTGCAACCAAGTAGCTTCACACAGATAAGGGATTTATTTAATTTGTTCATGTAATGTTGATATTTCCAAAGGATAGAATTAGGAAAGATAGATGAATGAATTTCACTTAGCAACAACTGCTTTTGTTTTTCAAATCAAGAACAATTGCCTAAAGTGTATTTAGGAAGCAAAACTGACTAGGAAGTCCTTTTCAAGTATTCCTGGTTTTATTTTGTTATTTTAAGCAAAAAAATTACAATCATTTGGAAGTAATACCTGTGGGATTTATATCCATTTAACACTAAGAATTCATAAATGTAAACTAATTATTTTCTTCTTTTTTAGTATTATTTTTTTTCAGTTAAAAGTACATCATTTTTACCTAGAAATATCTTTCAGATTATACTGGCACAATGAAATAAGACCCCCTCCAAATATCTGTATTCTTTCAAATTTAAGAGTGAGTCTTTCCGGAAACCGAAAACCAAAGAACAAGAAGACGCTCTAACAAGTCAGACCTTGTTTGTTCTCAAGGACATGAAGATCCGGTTTCCAGGAAAATCAGATGCAGAGTCAGAACTTTTGATAGAGGACGTGAGTATTCAGTTTTTGTTTATTCTTTTTAAAATACATTTCCTGATGACTGTATCTCAGTCATGTGGCATACTTTTTTGATACTCTTTTCAGCCACCAAGAACTTTGTAAAATACAAGGATTTATGTTAATTATTGTGATGCATGAATAATGAGCTGTCACTTATAATTAACAGTGTAGAATACCTTTAAGTATAAATCACAGTTTTAATGATAAGACTGTTTCTTTAAGTGAGAATAATTAGGGTTAAATAGTATTCTTAATATTAAATGATCAAGGTAAATCTGCTTCTATAAGAAAGAAAGAATGGAATGAGATATAATGAAAAAATTGGATCCCTGGCATAAAAATGTCAAGAAAATTTGATTGCGACACCTCGAATGTCACATTTTTGGTCAGATTTGAAATGATACATGCTGAGTTGTGTTTTTCTTCTTCGGGACACATTTGTACCACCTAGTGGAACACTAAAATGGCAAGTCCAGTCTTCTAATTCATATAGAAATACAAAGATATTAAAATATTTTTAGTGAATGACAGTTTCTTCACTCAAGTTTCCATTTTTCATCCAAACATCCTTTTCAAATACTCAGATAATTCATTAATACAATGTTACTCTTGAGTCACCTACATTTTTTTCTAGAGGAGAAGGCACCATCTAGTGGTGAACTGTGGGATAAAACCACAGATACACCCTTTTTTGATTTTTTAACCTTACTTTAGGCCTGTGTGAGGCAAGTGTATAAAAACAAAGGCAAACAAGGAAAAGACAAAACTTTCTTGCTTTAAACAATCAGTGAAAACTAATTTCTTGGATTCATGGAATATTATAACTAAATCCCAAATATTATGCATCTTATACACACACATACACACACACACATGTGAAAATGCTGCCTTGTTTGAAAATCAGCAAACTGTTACATCAAAGGAAAAGGAAAAACAGCATGAGTTGTAAAGAATTATGCAATATACTTTTTATTCATGTTTATATTTTATTTGTTGAAGTTCTTTTTTTAAGTAAGGTCAATAATTCTGTAGCAGAAACTTAACACAGTAGCTTTTAAGTATATTATATTCTGCTATTTTGAATCAGGTAGAAGAAAATTATGGGTTCACAGAGTAGAACTACAGTAGCATTTGTGGCTTTGGGGATTGTTTTGTAAAGAACATATGTGGGGGTTCCATCTTGATGGACTAGAACAGCACCACTCAAACGCTTGCGGACCGTCACGAAGATCAGCAGGCACACAGTTTCTGGGATGAGGCTGCAGGAAGGCAAATAGAAGGAGTAAGAGAACAGAAGAAATTCGGAAGCAAGGGTACATAGGATAAGAAGCAGGACTGCCTGCCAAGTCCCAGCTCTGGCATACTCAGATCTGGTGAATATACCTTGCAGGGAAAAGTACAGATCTCTACTATGGCTACGCAGCCTGGCTGCCACCACCCAGTGTCCATTGGGCCTAGCTCTTCTCCTCTTGGGCATGGAGCTCAGAGAGAGCAATGTTTGTCTAGGAGAGCCTCACTGAACCACAGCACCATGTAAAGCAGCAAGCTGGAGACCACTCATAGGACAGTTACAGGATGGGGTCAGGAGCCCCAGAGACAGAGAGAGGCAAAGGACATGGTGCTGGCCAGCACTGAACCAGGCACTGTCGGATCATGAGCCAATGAGAAATGCAGCGGCTTGCAGAGACTGGGACCTGTGACAGCTGGGTGTAGGGAGAGAGCAGGAGCAGCACCAGCAATGCTCTCTCCTGCTGGTCCCCAAATGCCTGTGAAGTCTTAGGATAGAACGAGAACCTGGGAGATGCTCAGGAGCTGGGACACGTGGTCATTAGGGAAGGAGAAAACATTCCAGCTCAGTGTCCATAGAAGCTCTTTGCTTCTCGATCCTAGAAGCCAGGTGTATGTAGACTGACATGGAACAGACAATACAGAAACAACCGCAGGTACTTACATGTAATTTCTGACAAATGAGCCACAACATATATGGAAAAAGGATAGTCTCTTTAACAAATAGTTCAGAGAAAACTGGGTATCGGTATGCAGAAGATTAAAGTTAGATCTCCCTCTCTTACCATGTAGTAAATTAAATCAAAATGAATCAAAGACTTGATATAAAAACAAACTCTGAACACTAGAATATAACTTAGGAAAACACTTGAACTGAAACTTGAGCATAATTCCAATTTCATAGGAAGTATGAGGAAATAATATTAAGAATTAACAAATGGGATTGTATAAAATTTAAAAGCATCTGTGTGGCAAACTAAACAGTGAAGAGAACTAAAAGAGAACCCATAGAAAGGGGAAAAATTTTTTAGTTACTCTTCTGGTAGAGGAGTAGTATCCAGCATACATAGATAATTCAAAAGAATTAATTCCCCTAAAACAGGACTCCAAGAAATGGGCAGATGAACTAAATACATGTCTTGAAAGAAGACATACAAATGGCCAAAATAAAAGTATGTGAAAGCAAATGTTCACTGTGCTTAGCCACCAAGGAAATACAAATCATAGCAACTCTTGCATTGTATCTTTACCCCAGTCAGAATGGCTATTGAGAACACACACACACACACACACACACACACACACACAAATAAATAAATAAATAAAACACTGATGAAGGGGAAAGCGAACCCTGCTACACCCCTGGGGGTGTAAACTAGTACAGCCAATATGCAAATTAGTACGAGGATTCCTCAAAAAACTAAAAATAAAAATTTCATTTGACCTATTTCTTTCCTATGTATGTTCCTCCTAAATTAAAGACATTATACTATAATGATACATGCATATTCATGTTCATAGCAACACAGTTCAAAACAGCTAGCTCTAGAAACAGTCCAGATCTATGTATAGAAAAGAAAAAAAAAAACTGATTCAGAAAATGTGGTATGTATACACAGTGGAATAGTATTCAGCTAAACAAAGAATGAAATCATGTAAGTTTTAGGAAAATGGATAGAACTTGAGGCCATAATGCTAAGTAAAGTCAAACATAAAAGGTCAGATATTGTATGTTTTCTTTATATGAGAAACCCAAAATACAAATAAAGGTGAAATGGTAGGAAGCAATAAGACAGACATTTGGAGATGGAAAAGAGGAACAAGGGGAGGGAGGATGTAAGGGAGAGGAGGATGAAAAAATTATCAAAACGCATTGTTTACATGTACTGATTCCCTAAAATACCAGTGTTCTATACTGCAAATATAAACAGATAAAAAAGAACATACTTAGATTTATGTAAGCAATTAAATGAAATTAAAAATTAACATCAGATACTTGATTATTTTATATGTGTGCCCTATCTGCTGGAGTGTGTTCTGCCATATATATTATATATGTACTGTATATGTATATCATATACTGTATATGTATATACAGTATACACTCAAAACTTTTCTAGACTTATACCAAAGGAGAGTCGAATCCTTATTAAGTATACATTGCTTCATTTGTGTTATTTAGTGTTAACAGCTATGGCTGATGTGGTTAACACAGCCTTGGGAATAAAGATAGAAACATCGGTGTCTTCGTTATACTCTCAGAACACATGTGCCCCAAGACTTCTGACTTTCATTCATCAGAGGTTATATTTTTGGTACATGAAGAAGAAAAAGTTTCTTTGCCTTCTGTTAGAAGTCTTTGAAATGCCTTTATATGAATTTCACATTCTTTATTACAAGTGTTGTTACAGTGCTTTCATTCATTGTACATAGTCATTACTAAAAATGGTGTTAAGCCATTTACTTTTTATTTGTTACTTTTAATGACTGTCCTAGATTACATTTCTTAATGTTTCTCCTTCCTAACAGATCATTGATAACTGGAAATATCATAAAACAAAAGTGGCTTCTTACTGGCTCATAAAATTGGACTCTCTAAAACAGCGAAAAGTAAGTAATGCTTGTTAAAAAGTGTTCCTTTCTTAGATTATATACTGAGGTTGGTAAGCCAAATTCATAGTCAAACCTCCACATGCACATTTATTTACTCATTTTTTCTATAAATGTTCATCCAACACCTACTATTTCGGGTATTGTTATGGATTCCAAGGATAAAAAAGTGAATAAAGAATCCATGTTCTTATTGAACTTACTTCCTAGTTAAAATGTTTGATAAAAATCTCTAATAGATTGTAAGTAGTAAAGGTAGTACTGTATGAAGAAAAGTAAAAGCCAGATAAAAAAGTTTTAACATTTGAGCACAGACAAATGGAAGTAAGAGTGATATCTGTAGATAAAATGTATCAGGCAGAGGGAAGAGCAAAAACAGAGATCCAAAAACAATACATCCAGAGCTTTTTCTTCTTGAGGTAGAAATTACTTAATATGTATATGAAGCATAGCAAAGCAGCATTTTATTTATTTATAGGAAAACTTGTTACATTGAGTGATGTGGTAGTGATAAGAGATGAGGTTAAGCAGATAGGCAGGACTCAGCCTGCAACTTCAGAGGTCATTAAAAGATTTTAGATTTTGTGCCAATGGGTGGGACATCACTGGGAAATTCTGAGAAGAATTTCAGTCATACATATGTATTTCATTTTTTTTTTTTTCTAGTGCTAGGGATTGAACCCAAGACCTCGTGCTTGTTAAGCAGGTATTTTACTAGTGAGCTGCACACCCAGCCCTGGTGTATAATTTCTTTTTTTTGTTTGTTTGTTTTTTTTTTGTTTTTGTTTGTTTTGTCTTGGTACCAGGGATCGAATTCATGACCTCACACTTGCCAAGCAGGCATTTAAGCTGCTGACATAAATCCCTGGCCCCATAATTTCTTTTTATTTTATAAGAAAACAAAACTTCACAACAAAATAATGGAGTAATAATAGTTAATATAGTATATATCATTATTTTCAAATTAGTTATTCAGAGTATAAGACATGAACAGAAAAGATTCTGTTACAGAGAAGAAATGAATGGCTAACAGTACAAAAGAGCAATTAGTAATACAGCAGCACAGTTTAATAGCTAGATCTTAGAAATAGGATACATGTCCATCAGCAGATGAATGGATAAGGAAAATGTATTTATACACAATGGAGTACTATTCTGCATAAAGAAATGTACTTGAGACCCTCATAGGTAAATCGATATAACTTGGGAATACAATGTTCAGTAAAAAACAAGTCAGACACACAAGCTTAAATATCATTCTTTTAAATGAGAAACTTAGAAGCAAAATAGAAGATATATAAATAGGAAGTAGAGAAGTATTCAAATAATTCCCTGAATTCCTTTAGTTTTTAATTTTAAAGGACCAGGGAACTACCTCCTTGATGAGAGTAGAGTTTAGGGAGAAAGAATGTGGCATGATAGAAGTAGAGACTAACTAGAAGGTTTTTAGGGTAATTGAGGCTGTTTTATTTTGTTTGGATTTTAAATATATGTTGATCTGGTGAGACAGAGTTTCATGGTTGAGGTTGGGTATGGAGATAAAAATTTAGTAGGAGTCTTTGAGATATTTAAAGTCATGAGCTAGATGGAATTTGCTACAAAAGAACTGTAGTTAGAAGAGAAAGACGTTTTAAACACTTGATTGTGGGCTTCTCCTCCATTTGCGTGCATAAATCAGAGTGGACTCGTCTAAGGAGGCTGAGAAGGAGCAGTCAGTGTGGTATAAAGGAGCCTTGAGAACTGTGTTTGAGGCCAAATGCAGAAAGGGCAGAAAACTCATCTGTGGTGGAAGCTGCTGTTAGGGGCCGGGGACTAAGAACTCTCTTGTTTTTTGGCAACATTTGTGTTCAGGGAATCTCAGTCATAACAAACTCAGAGGAGTGGTAGGTATTGAAGCTTGATTAGGGTAGACCCACTCTATGAAAAAATAGGAAAAAAACCGTGTAACTGTGAGTTTTCCTATAGAAGGGAAAGGGAAATGTGGTAACTGGAGAAGAGTAGAAATATGAACTAGTGAGAAAGTTTATGTATGTATTTATTTATTTTTGGCTTTGGGACTCAAACTCACGACTTTGTGCTTGCTAGCCAGGTGTTGTGCTGCTGAGCAGTATCTCCAGCCCTTTTCTTACTTTGAAAATGAAGATATTTTCAGTGTTTGACCTGATGAGAGTGATTTTGAAGAGAGGCATGCCATGGGAAAAAGGATGATAAAAATGTTCTCAAATAAACTGGGAGAGTTTGTCCTAACCAAGAGCACTTAATTCTTATTGGAGAAAGGGCAAGGTGTATGGTGGGATCTGAACGTTTTCCTCTGGTGGAAGGTTAGAGGACAGAATAAAAGGTTTGTCCAGAGCTGAAAAGGGCATTTCCAGAACCCCAAGGGACCTGTCAAATGCAGTGGAACTTTATTTTGTATAGATACTCTATTAAAGTGGCTTTAGTGAAGCTGTCATGTAACTTTAGATGGTACAAGCTGCTGTTCACTTTTCCTAGGATTTATTGTTAATGAGATAAAACTTGACGTTTGTCAGATTATGAGTTTTAAATTACATATTCAGAGTCAACTGCATTCACTTATGTGAATTAGCAAACTCAGTAGATATTTAGCATCCTGCCAGTGCCACTTTTGAGCCAGGTGCATGAAACCGGATAATGGAGATTGACTGTGAAACACATTGTAAGTCCTGAATATATGTTTGCCCAGCTACTAACTTTGGCCTTGACTGATGAGACTAAGATCATTTTATTAGAATTAGAACCCTGAATTTCCTCAAGTCCATGCAGTTTTCATAATCTAGAAGCAAGAAGAGTTTAGATAAATTGCTACAACAAATTGAGAGTCCAGATTAGACTAATTTTTTTATTATACTACATGGTAAATATGGCATTTCAAGTTATTTAGAAAAGATTTTTCTACTAAGTAGTATTGAGCAATGGATTATCTATTTGTAAAAAGTTGCGCCTTGTCTCTCACCGTATACAAAAATAAATTCCATATAAATTATAGTTTGAAATTATCAAATATTTTTAAAGAAAATCTTAGGAAAGACTTAAAACCTAGAAGGCTTAAAGGAAAAGATTGACAAACTTGATTATATAAGAACCTGTGAATGACAAAAGACATCTTAGATCAAGTTAACAGCAGAGATGATGAGGGAATTAGGGCAGGTGAAGGGATGGCTTGAGGAAAACAGACATTTGTTGCCCATAAAATAAAAAGTAATTCCAGTAAATTTATGCTTTCTACAGTCAATCAGCAAAAGGCAAACTGTCCTATAAATATTAAATAAAATAGCATAGCACATTAAAAACCCATGAAAAGACAGTTTATGAGTCTTCAAATAGTCAATTAACATGTAAATATTTCCTTGGCTTCACTAATGATGGAGAAAAAGCAAGTAAAAACCATCATATTGGCAAAAATTAGTAAGACAGGTAATATCCCGGGATGGGAACACTATGGATTAAAGAGCTTTTCCTGTAGTATTAGAGGCTGAATACATTGGTATAACTATCAGAAAGGTAATTTGTAGTATCTGTTAAAATTAAAATGCTTATAGCCTTATGAATCAACAAAAATTTTTTTAGTATTATATCCTATAGAATTATAGCCTGAACACATAACAAATTTCTGTATATGAACATTCATTGCAGTGGTATTTGTGAAAGCAAAACACTCGAAATCTAAACATCTCTCAATAAATGCATGGTTAAATAAACAGATTTATGGTTAAATAAAGTTTAGTATATATATACAATTTGGTTGAATTCAACTGAATACTATTTCAGAATTGTAGATTTTAAGCTCACATAAAGCCCAAGACTATAGTTTGTTATCAATGTATGCAACAAAAATAACTAAAACTTTACTAATAATTGAATTAATAAAAAATAAGAAATAGCTAACATATATAGAGGCTCTGAAAGGCTGTGAGCCCATCTGTTCTGTGGTGTCTCTTCACATAGCTAGGGCATTCTGGGTTCAGAGGTAAAAGTGCCAACTATATGTGGTCCATGTTGGTACAGAAAGAGCCTTTCAGAGTTGAGGGCCCTTTCATTTTTATTCTTTATTAGCTTGTGTAACTGCCATCATTCCTCAGCTATATAAAGTTAAAAATTCCAGTTTTATTAACTATGAGCTCTGTCTCACAGAACTTTCTAGAAGGATAGAGATGTTCAGTATTGTACAATATAGTAGTATTAGCCACATGTGGCTATGGAACACTTGAAATGTTGCTAGCATGACTGATAAACTAGATTTTAAATGTGCATTTAATTATTAAAATTTAAATTTAAAGAGCCAACTGTGTTTACTGCTTGTACATTTGACAGTTGCATCTAGATAGAGAGGGCACAGACTTCTAAAAATGGAGATAAAAATTGATTTATGTCACTGCCCTCCAATTTTCATGCAAGCATGGACGCAGCTGAATCTAGCATTTGTGATTGGTTCATTGTGTAGTGCCTGCATAACACAATTGATGTGAGTACTACACCCACCCAGGGTTGGAGCCAGCATACAGTGTAAGGGCAGGCAGAAGGCTGTCTTTCTCTTTTGCTGTTTGCAGCCACCATGAATGGCTGGTCCTCAGCCATGCCACCTGTCTTGAAACCAGCTGAGTATGGATTTATACCTCCAAAAATTGTAAGAAATAAACCTTTCTTTCCTTCATTTTGGGGGTGAGGTATTTTGTCTCAATAACAAGTAAAAAGTAACCAAGACATAAACTTTCTGTTATCTTCCTGCTTACAAATTCAGTGGTTTTTGAGAATTTCCAGTGTGATCAGCATTGCTATGTACATCTCAAAGAAACAGCACCTCGGGGCTGGGGATTTAGCTCAGTGGCATAAGCGCCTGCCTTGCAAGCAGGCAGTCGTGAATTCGATCGATAAAAATGAAAAAGACAAAACAAAAAAAACAAAAAAACCAGCACCTCTGTTACCTCTCTCACTTGCATACCACCCTCCTAAAAAGATATCAGGATATTAAGCAAGTTATA